TCCCCAAGTGAGCGCAACAGGCCGAAACTATGCCGATCCGAAGCCAGGAGCCTCTTCTGGGTCTCCCACGCGGGTGCAGGTTCCCAAGGCTTTGGGCTGTCTTCGACTGCTTTCCCAGGCCACAGGCAGGGAGCTGGAAGGGAAGCGGGGCTGCCGGGATTAGAACCGGTGCCCATATGGGATCCCGGGCGTGCAAGGCGAGGACCTTTAACTACTGTGCCACTGCGCCGGGCCCATTTCTTTTTTTCTTTTGATGATGTTTATAGTTGATTGGGATGGGAAGGGTCGAAGATCGGGATTGTGGGTGAGACCATTGTTTACACATTTTCTTTTTCTTGTATCTGGGGAAGTGGGCATACAAGAGTTAAAAACCACAACCACCTCAGTACGCAGGGATGGGGAACAGCGTGTCATCCCAGGATGCTCACTATGGAGCATTTTCTGAGGATTCTGCTCATGTAGCTTCAACAGTTCTGAGATGCTGTTGATATTGCCACTCCAAGGATAAGAAAATCCTTCCAAAGTCAGTTGGCTGGTACCTCTGAGTCTGCATTTGCCCACAAATTTGCTGTCAAGCTTCTCTGGGGTAAATCATAAGTTTGTTCTGCCCTTTCCTCTCCAAACCAGTGGGTGCTGTGGCCCTACCCTGCCCACCAAATACTCATCCCTCATGTACACCAGTGGGGTTGTTGCCCAGTCAGAGCAACCCCTAATAACCCCCTGCTGGATTCATCACCAGCCCTGGTTCCTGTGCCTGCCAGCATATACTGTGTACTGGAAAGGTGCCCCAATCCTCCCCACTGAACCCACTCTCTGCCCTGGATCTTGACTCTCCAGGTGGTTCTGCGGTCTAGCTTGACAGGACTTGATCCCAGTCCTAGCACTTGTCAACTGATGCTGCAGCAAAGCCCAACCAGCCTGCCCTTACTCTGGCTCATGTCTGCAGCAGTGAATATAATCGGTTAGCCCAACCTGGCTTGCCCCCTAACCCAGTTCACATGCAGGCCAGCAGGTGTTATACCCCTGTCCGGGCTGGTCTGCCTCCAGTCCTATCTGTCATGCTTATAAGCAGGAGTAGTGCTCCAGCAGGGGATTCCTCACATCTCCCCTGCTGGGTGGGCTTGCACAGCTCTACTACTCTCCCTACCCTCCAGCATACCTCAGTCTCATGTGTGCTGTGGCCCAGTTTAGCATGGGTGCCTCATTTTGGCATTTGCTGGCAGGTACTATAGCCTAGCCCAGCCTGGTCCGCCCCAAATTCCAACTCGTGCTGGCAGGTGCTGCCACCCAACCAGGCCCAGCCCACCCTGTCCCACACTCCATCCTGGTTCTCAGATCTGACATTGGGTGTTATGAACTGGCTAAGTCTGGCCAGCCCCCAGACCTGACGCACCCATATGCCTACAGGTACTATAAGTTGGCCTGGTATGGAATGCTCCTTGTCTTGGTTCTTATGCTCACCTGCAGGGACTGTGCCCTGGCAAAGGAATTCCTGAAGCTCTTCTATGAGATTTCCTCCCAGTGATAGATCTCACATACATCAGTGAGTCCTTGGTTTGGACTGACTTATTCCACCTCCTATCCCGACAGGAACAGTGGCCTTTTCCAACCCACCCACACTCAATCTGGTTCTTATAGTTAGGTGTTACAGCCCAGTCACACCTGGGCCATGCCCTTAGGCAGCTCTCAGGTGACCCAAGACCTAGCCCAGCCCATTCCACCCACTCTGGCTCTAACATACACCAGTGATTGCTGCTGTCTAGCCATGTCTGACATGCTCCAGACCCAGTCCACACCCTTGCTAAGGGACACTACAGCCATGTCCAGCCCAAACCACCACTCCCATTCCAGCTCTTAACTGTTCACCATTACAGTGATAAAAGTTATCTATATCATGGGGAATTTGGAGGTCAGACTTAATCATTCTCTGATTTTTGTCAAGTCCAAGGCACATCACAAAAGAAAATTAGTTGGCATGGCTGGAGGTTTGAGAATTAAAGGGTTTTGAGATTTTTCGAAGGCAGCCAAATGGCAATTCTGTGGGGATCTTAAACTTTTAGCCCCACTGTAATGTCCTGAGTCCAAGGTGGTGGGATTAGTGTAACCTTGGATTTCCGTAGAGGATAAAGCCTGAGAATCAAAGTGTGGAGAGGAACCTGTTGAGGGAGAGTTTATACTCACCCATCACTCAGCAAGTAGTAGGCCTCTGTTAACCTGATTGGAGTAGCACTTGCAGTCAGCAGTGGCTGAGAGGCTATAAAAAGGTTTTCTTCACAAGTAGTCCCAGTTATGGTCTGAAGAGGTTATTTGTGTAAGCTCAGATCTCCAGTGGGGAATAAACCAAGTCCTATCATGGTATTGAATGCAGTGAGGTCTTTTGAAAGAATAGAAGCTGGCTCATAGGAGCATGGGTCTGGACTCTATGGTAGGCTAGATAGAATGAGTTTCTGGTGACTCAGATCCTGGGAAGGGGGAGCTTGCAGTGGGACCTGAGCAATGCACCAGTGTTAGCTGTTTTCACCACAAACCCAAGACGGCAGACACTACAAGTCAGCCACATGAAAGGTCCTTTATTCCATTGAGGAGGCAGCCACAGGGTGGGGGAAAACTGGGAGCAGGGAGAGAGAGAGGAGCAGAGCAAGATTTGTATGTTTTATTTCTATAACTTATACCAAAATTTTGTTTTTGTGATACAAAGTATGTGTAATCAAATTTTAACTATTGTGGTATAGACCATGAATCAGGAGATGTTTTAAGCATGTCTTTGTGGCAGTAAAACTTTTCTCAACTATTTTTTTTTATATAATACATAGTTTTAAGAATATAGTGATACTTCCTATCCCACACACACTCCCTTGTCCTCCTCCTTTTCTTATTTTTCTTTTTTTTTTGTATTATTTTTTATTGATTACATTGCATTATTTTTTTATTGTTGTTAACATTGTATTATGTGATACAGTTTTATAGGTACTGGGGATTCCCCCCACCCCTCCCATACCCCTCCCCCCATGGTGGATTCCTCCACCTTGATGCATAACCACAGTTCAAGTTCAGTTGAGATTCGATTACATTGCATTATGTGACACTGTCTCATAGGCTCTGGGATTCCCCCAACCCCTCTCCATACCCTCCCCCCATGGTGGATTCCTCCACCTTGTTGCAGTATTACAGGTCAAATTCAGTCAAGATTCTTTCATTGCAAGCATAGAGTTCAGCATCTTATTGTCCAGATAAATTCAACGGTTTCTTGGGGAGACCATCTCTGGTCTGAAAGCAGAGCTGGCAGAATATCATCCCGATCAATTAAAAGCCACAACATAACATCAATATCAATTTACAACATTATGAAATTAATTGACATGGTATTGAGTAACAAATATGTTTTAAAATGCAAGTTCTTTTTTTTTTTTTTTGTGATACAGTTTTATAGGCACTGGGATTACCCCTACCTCTCCCACAACCCTCCCCCCATGGTGGATTCCTCCACCTTGCTGCATAACCACAGTTCAAGTTCAGTTGCAATTCCTTCATTGCAACCATATACCTAGCTTAAAGTCCAGCATCTTATTGAAAAAATGCAAGTTCTTAACCACATCCTGTGACGACTTCATTGACATTTCAATTTCAGTTTATACACAGAACCGGGTGCTATACACCTTGAAAAGGCTATAAGGTACTATTCAGCTGTCTCGTGACTATTTTCATTTTAGCATTTAGCAGTTTATAGTGTTGAAGCTTAATTTTGCTGAACTTGGCAGATTTGGGGATAGTCTAAACTGGCTTATAATTCTAACAAGGCATATGTCAACAGTTGCAGTGCAGAACAGTTTTAGGAAGAGTGTGCAGAGAAATCTTCAATACCTCAGTGAGGAGTAACTAATCTTTGTCTCCTACCTAGTAATGCATGTGTGAGTCCACGCTGACCATTTCCTGTCTGGTTCCAAGCTTTCCTTGTTGTTCTCTGTCTACCTTTTCTTATTTTTCTTTGAGTTTTTACATTGCAGCCATTTGGAGAGTGAACCAGCAGATGAAGAGTCTCTCTTTGTCCTTCTGTCTGTGAATCTACCTTGCAAATAAATAAATATTTCATTCCGATTGTAGTATTTGTGGTGCCAGAGCAAGCACAAAAATAAATAAATGTTGTTGTTGTTTGGGGGAGGGGGAAACAGAGGTAAAAAGAGAGATCTTTTATATACTAATTCTTCACCAAATGGCCACAGCAGTCAAGGCTGGACCAGGCTAGACCTAGAAGCCAGGAGCTTCATCCATGTCTCCAACATGGGTATGGGAGCCCAAACACAATCACTGGTTTAAAGTAAAAATGCTTCCTAAATACTAAGGGGAAACAATTATAAAATCTGAAGATATTAGAAAAAATAATATAGGATACTGTTCAAGCTTAATTGTAACATGTTCCTCATTAGTGGAGAGGAAGAAAAACTATGAAGTCAAACAACCCTGGTATTATTTCCCTCGATTAAAAAACTAATTTTCCAGGATACTTTTGTAATAATGACAATGTACATTCATACAAATCCAGAAATTTAATGGATTCAGTCAGAAAAGACAAATAACAAATACAGAAAAATATTTTGTGGAAAAAAATATTCAGGGCCAGCACGATCACTCAATGACTCAACCTTACAAGCAGTGGGAGTCCATATAGGTGCCAGTTCATGTTCTAGCTGTTCCACTTCCCATCTAGCTCCCTGCTGTGGCCTGGGAAAGCAGGAGAGGATGGCCAAAAGCCTTGAGATCCTGCACTTGTGTGGAAGACCTGACAGAAGCTCTAGGCTACTGACTTTTGAATCAGCAGATGGAAGGTCTTTCCCTCTGCCTCTCCTTCTCTCCATACTTCTGATCTGTCTTTACAATAAATAAATCGTCAAAACAAGGAAGGAAAAATTTCATCAGGCTTCTTAATTAGATATAAGAACCAATAATTGTATCAATTTTAATAGCATTAATAATCCCACCCTTAATATACTCTTTCTTCATAGGTCTGTTAACGGAGTATATCGGATAGGACTGTATGCTCTTAAAGATATGCCGGCTGGGACTGAACTCACTTATGATTACAACTTTCATTCCTTCAATGTTGAAAAACAGGTAAGAATAATTGAATCTAGTAGTGGGTGGAACTTTATTGCATACAATACTGTGAAACATGAGCTTTCAGTAACTACTGAATAGGAGCCAGCACGTAAAAAGCAGTTTTTCACACCCTGCTATTCTAGTGAAAATCCAGTCCAATTTTTATATTCTCAATTAGTTATGTACGAATTCCTAGGTTTACATACTCAGTCTTGGATGTCCCAATAAATGCTCAGGCATCCTCCTTGAAGCTGTCTGTGAGATTGTAGGTTAAAAAAAAATCATTCTGGGCCTCGGTGCAATGCGGTAGCGTAGTGGTTAAAGTCCTCGCCTTGCAAGTGCCGGGATCCCATATGGTTGCTGGTTCTCATCCCAGCAGCCCTGCTTCCCATCCAGCTCCCTGCTTGTGGCCTGGGAAAAAGCAGTCAAGGACAGCCCAAATCCTTGGGATCCTGCACCTGTTGTGGAGCCCCAGAAGAGCTCCTGACTCCTGGCTTCGGATTGGCTCAAGTCCAGCAATTGCACTCACTTGGAGAGTGAACCATCAGACAGAAGATCTTCCTCTCTGTCTCTCCTCTCTGTATATCCGCTTTTCCAATAAAAAAAAAAATCATTCTCGGACCTGGCATAGTAGCCTGGTGACTAAATCCTCACCTTGCAACTGCCAGGATCCCATGTGGGTGCTGGTTCATATTGTGGTAGCTCCACTTGCATACAGCTCCATAACTCTGGCCTGGGCAAGCAGTAGAGAATGACCTAAAGCCTTGTGACCCTGCACCCACATGGGAGACCCAGAGGAGTTTCCTAGGTCTTGGTTTCAAATTGACTCAGCTCTGGCTGTTGCAGCCACTTGGAGAGTAAACCAGTGGATGGAAGGTTGTTTTTTTCTGTCTCTCCTTCTCTCATTCAATCTACTTTGCCAATTTAAAAAAAAAAAAAAAAAACTTTTTAAAAAAAATTATTCTCTTTCCTTAAGCAACTTTGTAAATGTGGCTTTGAGAAGTGTCGGGGAATCATCGGAGGCAAAAGTCAACGCATGAATGGAGTCAGCAGCAGCAAAAGTAGCCAGCCCGTGAGCACACACAAAAAGTCTGGTCGGTCGAAAGAGAAGAGGAAATCCAAACACAAGCTGAAGAAAAGGGTGAGGGAGTATTCATGGCTTCCAAGAAAGCAGTTACTGAAGTAAGGGAGGTATTCTACGAGGTGACTTCTGGTCCATCATTCTGTTTCTCTTATCTTATCCATTTGTTTTTCAGAAAGGTCATTTATCTGAAGAAACCAGTGAAAATGCCAACCCTCCAACAAAATTAACCCCCCAGTTACAGATGAAGCCGATGTCCAATCGAGAGAGGTAAAATGATTTTTATACCTGGGTTCTTTTTACCTTATTTTATTTACTTGTCAATTTGAAAAATAGGAAGCATTTAGTCTAGTAGTTAGAATGCTAATTAAGATGGCAGCACTCCGCATGATGGTTCAGCTCCTGACTAGTTTCCTGCTGGTACAGACTCTAGCAGACAGTGGTGATAGCCCGAATAACCAGGGTCCTGCCATCCATATAGAAACTTGGAGTGAGTCAATGGCTCCTAACTCTTGCTCAGCTCAGCTCAGCCCCACTTCCTGGGAGAATTTGGGAAGTGAACTTGTAAGGAACTGCTTGCTCCCTCACTGTTTCTCCTTGCCTTTCAAATAAATAGTATTTTTCTTTTTTAACAAATATCATTTATTTACTTGAGAGGAAAAGTGACAGAAAATATCTTCCATTCTTTGACTCACTGCCCAAATGCTTACAGCAACAAGGGCTAGACCAGTTCAAATCCAAGCACCAGGAATTCCATCCACGTTTTCTACCAGAGTGGCAGGAAACCAGGTATGTAGGTCATCATCTGCTGCCTCCCAGACAGATTACCAGGAAGCTGGATCAGAAGTGGAGGCAGGGATTTGTCCCAGGTACTCCAGTATGAGATGTGGGTTTTGCACACAGCACTTAACTTGCTGTACTATGATGCTTTTACTCCTTGTGCTTAATTGTTTTTCTAAAAGTTAATGGGTCCAGGGGCCCAATACTGTAGCCTAATGGCCAAAGTCCTTACTTTGCGTGCACCAGGATCCCATGTAGATGCCAGTTCTTATCCTGGCTACTCCACTTCCCTTCCAGCTCCCTGCTTGTGGCCTGGGAAAGCAATGGAGGATAGCCCAAAGCCTTGGGACCCTGCACCCATGTGGCAGACCTGGAAGAGGCTCCTGGCTCCTAGTTTTGGATTGCCTCAGTTCTGACCATTATAGCCACTTTGTGATTGATCCTATAAATCTGCCTTTCCAATAAAAAATAAATAAATCTTTTTTAAAAAAGTAATGGGTCCAGAGGCCGGCATGGTGGCATAGCAGCCCGGTCCTCTACCTAAACAATGTCCATTCAGGTCCCTGTTTCTCCACTTTTCTTACAGCTTTCTGCTTACATCCTGGGAAAGCACTAGAGGATGGCTGAAGCCCTTTGGGCCCTGTTCCCATGTGGAAAACCTGGAAGAAGCTCCAGGCTCCTAGCTTCAGATCAGATCAGCTCGGCCATTGTGGCCATCTGACAAGTGAAACAGCAGACAGAAGATCTTTCCCTCTGTCTGTTCTTTCTGTGAATCTGATCTGCCTTTCCAATGAAAATGAATAAATTTTAAAAATGGTAAAGTCTGAGTTACAGAAAGAGAGATAATTTATGCCTTTGTTCACTCCCCACATGGCTGCCATAGCCAGGCCTGGGCCAAACTGCAGCCAAGAACTAGGAACTCCATTCCAGGTTCCTATGTGGGTGGCAGGTACCCAGACTCCTGGGCCATCTTATGTTACTCCTCCCAGGCCGTTAGCAGAGAGCTGGATGGGAAGTGGAGCACCTGGGACTCGAATCTGTGTGCCTGTGAGATGCCAGCGTCACAGACATCTCTGGTGTAGCTTTACATGCTGCACTACAACACTAGCCTCATTACTAATGCTTATTGAATTGATAAAAGAACTTTGTCCCTTCCTTGTAGGAATTTCGTATTGAAACATCATGTATTCTTGGTTCGAAACTGGGAGAAAATTCATCAGAAACAGGAGGAAGTAAAGCAAACTAGTGATAATATTCACTCTGCATCATTATATACCCGCTGGAATGGCATTTGTCGAGATGATGGGAATATCAAGTCTGGTAAGGCACAGGAAATATTTCTGTTATGCAGGATCATTCAAAAAGTGATTGTTCTAGTTACTTTGTCTGTTTAAAGATAGCTGCTTGTGAAACATTAATCATTAATAACATGTCCTTCCTCGTCTCTACCCTTCCACAAGCCTCCCCAACATCACCACATTCTGAAATCATTGCAAGGTGTGATGATAACAGCATCTGTAGTCCTTCCAACCTGGAAAATAGCTTGCAGATGGATTAAATGGTGATGCCAGTGTGGAGAGAGATTAATACTGTCAGTTCAAAGACTTTCCCACTTCATACTGAATCAGCGCTAAATACACAAATGTCAGATTTCCTTTGTCTAAGCTCATGGGTGAATGGCGACATACTTATTTAAAGACCAGACTTAGCTACTATATTACACAGCATTTGGCCGTAAAGCCAAGGTCCCTCTTAGAGTATTATGTTGTGATAAACTCCAGTGCTTTTTTTAGTTTTTGTTTGAAGAAATAACTCTCTGCCCTCCAATCTGCTTAATCATTCAGGAAGACAGAGCAAACAGCAGGAATCAGTTGAGGAAGAGAACCACCTAGAGCTCCTCATTTTCTGAAATTAATTTTCACTTTATCTTTCCAGATGTTTTCATGACCCAGTTCTCTGCCCTGCAAACAGCGCGATCTGTTAGAACAAGACGCTTGGCGGCTGCAGAAGAAAACATTGAAGTGGCTCGGGCAGCCCGCTTGGCCCAAATCTTCAAAGAGATCTGTGATGGTATCATCTCTTACAAAGGTGACCATATCTACTGCAAATTCATTCTTCTTACCCTTTTTTTCCCCCTTCTCTCAAAAGGCAACGTTACAGAGGCAAAGTAGAGACAAAATTCATCCATCTGGTTATTCACTCCCCAAATGGCTGTATTGACCGGGCTGGGCCAGATCAGTCAGAAACCCAATTACTGGGGTTGTATTCCACTGTTTTGCCAGGCATCTTAGTGAGGAAGTTGATCCTTAGTGTTGCAACCAGGGACCAGAGCAATGACTAAGCTGGCTAATCCTCCCCGGCAAGTGCCAGCACCTTATGTGGGTTCCAGTTTGTATCTCAGCTGCTCCACTTCCCATCCAGCTCCCTGCTTGTGGCCTGGGGAAGCAATGGTGATGATCTGAAGCCTTAGGACCCTGCACCTGCATGGGAGGCTGGGAGAAAACTTCTGGCCCCTGTGTTCAGATTGGCTAAGGTTCAGCCATTGTGGCCACTTATGGCCAGCAGATGTAAGATCTTTCGCTCTGTCTCCTTCTCTTTAAGTCTTTCTTTCAAATAAAATAAATAAATCTTTAAAAAGGAATTTTTGCAATCATACAGGGTGCTGGCATCACAGGTAGAGGCTTAAGTCAATGTGCTACACAATGCCAGTCCCTCTTCTTACTCTTTTTTAATGAATGATACCAGGGCCAGTATTGTGGCATGGCAGGTAAAGCCACCACTTGTGATGGGCACTGATTAGAGTCTTAGCTGTTCCACTCTGGTCCAGCTCCCTGCTGATGTGCCTGGGAAAGCAATGAAAGATGTGGCCCGACTACTTGGACCGCTAAACCCACACGGGAGACCTGGAGGAAGTTTCTGCCTCCTCACTTTGGCTTGGCCACTGTGACTGGGGAATGAACCAAATGATGGAACATCTCTATTTATTTGTAACTCTGCCTTTCAAATAAAAAAAAAAAGTATCCTTTTTTTTTTTTTAATGAAACTACCTTACCCTCATTCAAGACCAAGAACAAATAACACTGAGAGATTAGGAATTTAGGAGGTTCACTAAGTCTATCTTTTGTGGGTGAGTATAAAATATTAGGACAAATTGTAATATTAAAGGATTGTGTTTGAATCCCAAGATCTTATACGTCAATATTTATGTCTAACTTTTTCATAGTGAATTACTGTATTTAGAAATTATACTTGTTAGCTGTTTGGTAGCTATTCCTATTTGGATTCAGGTCTTTGACTGATACAATTTCCCTGACAGAGTAAGTAGCAATTTAAGGAAAAAAGTATTATGGAGTATTAGGAGCTGTGGCTCCTAGCCAATTTTTATTTTTTGGTGTACTTCTTCGAGTGTCTCGCAAAAACTATCAACACTTTCCCAATATTCAGTGTATGTTGTTAGGTTTCAAAGGCCTTAAAATGATCTACATTAAGAGAAAGAACATGATAAACATCTTGCATCTAAGTGTGATGCAAAGGGACAATAGGACATATGTACCCCATACCGGAGTATCTGGGTTCAAGTCCCAACTGTGCTCCCAATTCCAGCTTCGTGCTAATATGCTACAATCCCAGAGAAGGCAAGTGATGGCTTAGGTCCTTGAGTTCCTGCCATCCACATGGGAGACCTGAATTCTATTCCTGGTTCCCAGCTATGTGTTCTAAATGCCATTGCGGGTGGGCATTTAAGATGTAAATCTGTGGGCCTGGCGGCGTGGCCTAGTGGCTAAAATCCTCGCCTTGCATGCCTGGGATCCCATATGGGTGTTGGTTCATGTCCCAGTGGCCCTGCTTCCCATCCAGCTCCCTGCTTGTGGCCTGGGAAAGCAACTGAGAATGGCTCAAAGCCTTGGGACCCTACACCCACGCGGGAGATCCAGAAGAAATTCCGGGCTCCTGGCTTCAGATTGACTGAGCTCTAGCTGTTGCGGCCACTTGGGAGTGAATCAGTGGACTGATCTTCCTCTCTGTCTCTCCTCCTTTCTGTATATCTAACTTTCCAATAAATAAAATCTTTAGAAAAAAAAAACAGCATATTAAAAAAAAAAAGTAAAGCTGCTTATTGGAACATTCTCTGTCACTTGTCTCCTCTGTCTCTTTGCCTCTCAGATAAGTAAGCCAGCAGATAGAAGATCTGTCTCTTCCTGTGTTTGTAACTCTGCCTTTCAAATAAATAAGTAACTCTTCAAAGGAATTTAGATAAAATGTGAAGTCTTGAGGTAGGTATTGTGGCCTAAGTTGTCACTTGGGACGTGCATACCTTATCAGAGTGCGTGGTTCCAGCCCCAGCTACTCAGTGTTTCCAATCCAGCTTGCTATAATACACACCCTGGGAGGCAGCCAGCAATGTCTCAAGTACTTGGGTATTGACCACCCAGGTCAGAGACCTAGATAGTCTGATTCACCTGGCACAACCCCGTCTATTGGCAGGCACTGAAGAAGTTAGCTAGCAAATGGAACAGCTCTATATGTGTGTCCATCACTTTCTGCTTTTCAAATAAATAAATAAGCATAAAAAATATTTGGATTTTTATTTTTAAGATTTGAAAATCAGTGACAGAGAGATCTTCTATCCACTGATTCATTCTCCAAGTGATCACAATACCTGGTCCAAACTGAAACCAGGAGCCAGGAACTCTCTCCAGGTGTCCCAGTATGTGGCAGGAACTCAAGTACTTGAGCCATAATGTTCTTAGGCACACTAGCAGGGAGCTGGATTGGAAGTAGAGTAATCCAAAAGTCAAATCAGCAATCTGTTATGGGAGACAGCAGCTTAACATACTGTACACCACTTTCTGCTGAAGCTTTTTGATGTTGTTAGCTTGGCCATTACATTTGGCTTATCTTTCTTTAAATTCTAAAGAATTTTGTTCTTTCTCTTTTATCTCTTTGACTACTCACAGCAGTGGTTTTTATTACAGTCTTTGTTAAAGATATGCAGGAAAACTAGGGGACCAAATCACCATAAAACATCATTACTCTGCTTACACTTGCAAATGATTATATTCTCCACATTCCCAAATAACGTGAAACTATAGTACACAGTATGTCACTGTATTATTTGCATTTAAAAAATGGACTTCCCTCTGTTCCCACTTCTTTTATCTCTAGTGACATTGCCAGAAAGGAACTGAGATACCATGGTAATCCTTCAGCATGAATTCTATTTTTATAATATAGAATACATAATGTAAGAAAGTGAGTTCTAGAAAATATAGCACTGCTTTATACATTATCTGGAATTTAAATGAATTCAACCTAATAGAGTGGTTTTTTTTTTTTATTAGAAAGTCAGATACACAGAGAGGAGAAGAGACAGAGAGAACGATATTCTGCCTGCTGATTCACTCCCCAATTCTCTGCAATAGCTAGAACTGAGCAGAAAACAGGAGCCAGGAGTTTCCTCAGAGTCTCCCACACAGGTGCAGGGTCCAAAGGCTTGGGCGTCCTTGACTGCTTTCCCAGGCCACAAGCAGGGAGCTGGATAGGAAGTGGAGTTGCCGGGATTAGAACCGACACCCATATGGAATTCCAGGTGCAAGATGAGGACTTTCGCTGCTAGGCTACCACGCCAGGCATAGGGAGAAGTATTTTCTTTAAACAGATTTCTTTAAGTCCTGGCACGATAGCCTAGCAGCGAAAGTCCTCACCTTGAACATGCTGGGATCCCATATGGGCACCAGCTCTAATCCTGGCATCCCCGCTTCCCATCCAGCTCCCTGCCTGTGGCCTGGGAAAGCAGTCAAAGTCTTGGGTACCCTACACCCACATGGGAGACCTGGAGGAAACTCCTGGCTCCTGGCTTCAGATAGTCTCAGCTCCAGCCATTGCAGCCACTTGGGGAGTTGAACCATCAGACGGAAAAATCTTTCTCTCTGTCCCCTTCTCTGTATATCTGCCTTTCCAATAATTTTTTTTTTAAGGGGGTTTATTTGTTTTGAAGAGGAGAATGAGATCTTTTTCTATCTGTTGGTTCACTCCTCAAATGTCTACAATAATGTGTGCCTGGCCAGGACCAAAACAACGAACCTAGAGCTTCATATAATTTATAGGTGAACAGTGACTTAATCATCCTGCTGGCCACAATACCCGCCCTTAGAAAACATTTTTCAGGTGATACTATCTTTTATCTGTGATATGATTTTCTCTTTTTTTAAAGATTTGTTTATGGGGCTGGCACATTGTCTCAACAAGCTAATTCTCTGCTTGCAAACACCAGCATCACGTGGATGCTAGTTCATGTCCCATGTGCTTCACTTCTATCCAGTTCCCTGCTCATACCCTGGGAAAGCAGGGGAGGCTGGCTCAAGTCCTTGGACCTCTGCACCCACATGGGAGACTCGGAAGAAGTTCTCGGCTCCTGGATTTGGGATGAACCACTGGATGGAAGATATTTCTCTCTTTCTCTCTCTCTCTTTTTGTAATTCTGCATTTCAAATAAAAGAAAATAAATCTTTTTAAAATGTTTATTTATTAATTTATTTATGCAGAAGTCAGAATTACAGAGAGACGGAGAAAGATCTTCCAAGATCTTCTATCCATTGGTTCATTCCCCACATGGCTGCAGTAGCCAGGGTTGGCCGAGTCAAAGCCAGCAGCGGGCGGCTTCTTCCAGTTCTGCTACTGATGCAGAGACCCAAGCACTTAGGTCATTTTCTGCTGCTTTTCCAGATACATTACAGGAAGCTGGATCAAAAGTGGAGTAGCTGGGCTCGGCAGCGTGGCCTAGCGGCTAAAGCCCTCGCCTTGAACATGCCAGGATCCCATATGGGCGCCGGTCCTAATCCCGGCTGCTCCACTTCCCATCCAGCTCCCTGCTTGTGGCCTGGGAAAACAGTCAAGGACGGCCCAAAGCTTTGGGACCCTGCACCCGTGTGGGATACCCAAAAGAAATTCCTGAATGCTGGCATCGGATCAGCATAACATCGGCCGTTGCTCTCACTTGAGGGGTGAATCATTGGACGGAGGATCTTCCTCTCTGTCTCTCCTCCTCTCTGTATATCTGACTTTCCAATAAATAAATAAATCTTTCCAAAAAAATTATTAAAAACAAAATATATATATATATAATATTTAAAAAGTGGAGCAGCTGGGACTCGATCTGGCACCCATACGGGATGCTGGCATTGCAAATAGCAGCCTAACCTTGCTATAATACAATACTGGACTCTACTTTTAAATAAGGTGATTCTACTTTTGCAGTTAGGAGATAATGCTGGCTTCCCATATATATTCGTGCATTTCTGCTAAATTTTGTATTCCTTTATAGATTCTTCCCGACAAACACTGGCAGCTCCACTTTTGAACCTCCCCCCAAAGAAAAAGTAAGTTCACATTTGTGGGTGTCATCTGAGTTTCAGAAAGGTGCTGAGGATACTGGATTAATACCCCTGACCTTGGTATTTTAGAAATGCTGAATACTATGAGAAGATCTCTGATCCCCTGGATCTCAGCACCATAGAAAAGCAAATCCTTACTGGTTATTATAAGACGGTGGAAGCTTTTGATGCTGACATGCTCAAGGTCTTTCGGAATGCTGAGGTATTTTTCACTGACTTCAAACACAGATTTAGGTAGTTTGTTGTAAAGTGAACCTTACTCTCTTAACTTTCCTATTTCTGGTTGGGAAGGTTTTTTGTTTGTTTTTGGGGGGGGGGGTTGTTTTGTTTTGTTTTTTTTTAATTGAGTACCTTTGGGATGTGTGTTACAGTGTACTAAATAACTGTAGAATCCTGAAAATGGAAAAGTAAATATCAAATCTGTTTTTTAGTTAAATTGAAAAGACCAAACTTGATTCTTTTTATTTTTCTTTCTCCAGAAGTACTATGGGCGTAAATCCCCAATTGGGAGAGATGTTTGCCGCCTGCGGAAGGCCTATTACAATGCCCGGCATGAGGCATCAGCCCAAATAGATGAGATTGTGGGAGAGACAGCAAGTGAAGCAGACAGCAGTGAAACTTCAGTCTCGGAGAAGGAGAATGGGCATGAGAAGGACGATGATGTTATCCGCTGTATTTGTGGTCTCTACAAGGATGAAGGCCTCATGATCCAGTGTGACAAGTGCATGGTGAGGGTCAGGAGTCAAAGAAGCCTGGTCAGGATGATGATATTCAAAGAAGCATGACTTGAGGCTTTAATGAAACGTAACAGTCTTGGCTTCTGTTATCCCTCATTATTTTTATATTGTTTTTTACCTGTCTCTTTCATCTTTAATTTTTTTTTCCTATTTCGTATTCTTTCTGCTGTTTCCTTCTCACATAATTTGTACTGTGAAAGATGCTAATATTTAGAATAGTGTTTTCCCTTGAAAAACATTAAATAGTGCACACTGCATATTCTGAATAGTTAGAGTGCAATTCATAAGTACACATAGGGCATCTCAAGAAGAGTCAGACCTAGATGTGAACCCCTGAGTCCTCATTTAATACATGTGAACTCATAACGTTGTGTATAACGTGGGCCTGTGACTCACCACTGTGGAGAAATGGAGGCAAACAAGAATAAGTAAAAACACTTTGTTATTATAAAGTCATTCACAGTAGCTATATCATACACAACTTAGTAAATTTATAATTTGCTATTCTGTTATTTGTCTTCCTACTCTCTTTCTCTGCTGCCCACATACATATTATGAATCAATCTACATTATTTTATTTAGACAAAATTAGCCTTTTTTCTCTTGTTTACCACTTACCCCTAATTCTCTTTCACTGACCAATTCCTTAGTTGCTATTTTGCTTTATCACATTCTGTTAATTTCTTTATTTTTAGCCTCTAGGACTCAGCTATATCATTTTCTTTAGGTGTGGCAGCACTGTGACTGTATGGGAGTGAACTCAGACGTTGAACATTACCTTTGTGAGCAGTGTGATCCAAGGCCTGTGGACAGGGTAAGCTGCCCTCTTACATGGCATGATATCCTATCTGCCCTAAACTAATTATGCATAATTTCTTTTGGTAAATCAGTCAGCCTAACTGGATCTCAATTTCTTTACTGTTATTATTATTATTTTTTATTGGTAAGTCAGATATACAGAGTGAAGGAGAGACAGAGAGAAAGATCATCTGTCCACTGATTCACTCCCAAAGTGGCCGCCAAGAACCAGAAACTTCTTCCAGGTCTCCCACAGGGTCCCAGAGCTTTGGGCCATCCTCAACTGTTTTCCCAGGCCACAAGCAGGGAGCTGGAAGGGAACTGGAGCAGCCGGGATATGAACCGGCACACATATGGGATCCACATATATGCAAGGTGAGGACTTTAGCTGCTAGCCTACTACACTGGGCCAATGGATGTCAGTTTCTTAAACTCTACGATGAGTACAATAATTCTTCCACCACCACCTTTTCTCAGGGCTGATTGGAGGGAATAGACAAGAATCAGAAATCTGTGGAAGAAATAGTACTAAATAAAGCAAAGAGATTTTCTGGTTTCTCTCTCCCTCTTTTTTAGTTTATTTACTTGAAAATCAGAGTTAACAGAGGGAGGGAAAGAAACAGAGAAGGATTTTGGCATCAGCATTGTGATGCAGCAAGTTAAACTGTCACCTGAGATGCCAGCATCTTGTTACATGGGCACTGACTCTAGTGCTGCTACTCCGCTTCCAATCCTACTCCTGCTAGTGCACCTGGGAAAGAATAAAATGTCCCAAGTCTTTGTGCCTTTTCACTCATGTGGGAGACTCACTGAAGTTCTGGCCTAACCTCAGCCGTTGCAGCCATTTGGGGAGTGTTTCAGCAGATAGATCTCTGTATTTCCTTCTATGTATATAACTGGCTTTCAATTGATAGCTTTTTTAATCTTTAAAAAATATGTATCTTTAAAAAAACAGAGATTGTCCACCTGTGTCACTCCCCAAATGGCTGCAACAGCCAGTGCTGAGCCAGGCTGAAACCAGGAGCCCAGAAGTGCAACTGCATCTTTGACATGAATGGCAGGGGTCCAAATACTTAGACCATCTTCTACTGTTTTTCCAGGTGCATTCGTAGGGAACTAAATTAGAAGTGAATCAGCTGGCCTAGTGTGAGCTGGTGAATGTTGTGGCCCTGTCCACCTCCCTCCCTGTTTTACCATGGACATGCCAGTGCTGTAGCCTGGTCCTGCCCAGACTATTCTTGGTCCCTGCACCCATGCATGTTGGCAGGTTCCATGGTCACACCTAGCTCAGCCCATCACCACCCCAACTCTTGAGCTAACCAGCGGGACTTGTATTTCCACAGGGTTTGACCCACGTATTCCCCACAGAATCTACCCCTGGACCTGATTCTCTTGCATGCTGGTTAGTGTTGTGGCTCTGCCTAATGTGACCCATCCCCCGTTCCAACATTTAGTCAGGTATGGGGATCTAGTCCTGCTGGACAGGCCCCCAGCCTTGGCTTTCTCATGGCATGGTGGTCATCAGTGTTCCATGTTAACAAGCCCAACTCCAGACTCCCATGTGGGCTGGTGCATGAGTATGAGTCTGACCCATAAAGATCTTTCATTCTCCCCTTCAAACCATCAGGTCTCATTCCTCTCACTTACCTGCAAGTACAGTGGCCCTGTCATTGGGTGTCCCTCAGGATTCATTCCTCTCCTGCACTTACAGTAGCCTTATCCATGGATGCTGTTAAGGCAGTAATTACAAACCCAAGACCCCAGAGTACACCACTTTGCAGCCAGCAGGCAAAGCCCAGCACCATTGGTGTTCTCACCACACAGAAGCTCAGGATTTGTCTACCATTTGGCAGAGGTGGACATGGAACAAGGATCCCCAGCAGGAAGCCTTGGCTGGCAGATTCTCCCAGCCACAGCCACGTGGCTAGGAGATTCAGACACCCATGCCTCTGAGCAAACTTAAGTGGACTCTGCCCACCAACATGGCAGCGGTGGGTGAAGCCATGATCCTGAGCATTCCCAGAACAACCTGAGATCCACCCACCCCATGCTGTGGACGGAGGAAATTCTGAGACGTTGGGGTAGGACAAGCCCAGGATTTGCCAACTGCTTGGCAAGATGCAGGGGCAGGCTAAGCCCGGTAAGGGCTTAGCACCTGCTGACATGCATGAAATCTGTCTGGGTCTGGGAGTGGGCTGAGTGGGAGAACTTGGGAAACTCCCCTAGTGGGTCATAGGTCCTGCCAGTGAGTACGTGGTCCAGGCCTGGGGGTTGGGCAACCTGGGCAGGGAGCTCCAGTGGTTGGCAAATATGTGGGTTGGTTTTGGAAAAGGATGGACCGGGCAGAGCTGAGCAAACCTTAGCTCACTGACAAGTGCAGAAGCCAGGCTAGGCTTTCACTCCTGTCGGTTTGCATGAACCAGAGATGGGAGCAGACTGAACAGGGCCAGTTTCCAGCACCCACCAGTGAGAGTTAGGACTGGGGGCAGGCTGGGTCAGGCTGCAGCATCCAAAGGCAAAGGTCGAAACAGGAGAGAGACTGTGCCAAGCTGGGTCAGAGCATCCACTGGTACTTGCAAGATCTATGGCTGGGAACAGGCTTGATTGGGGAGCAAAGGGAATGCACTGGCTGGGTTGTGGTCCCCCCAATGGGTGCAAGGGCCTGAATGGGGGCTGCTCTCTGGTCTGGACATGGCTGCAGTGTCCATTGGCATAAGTATGAACTGGAAATGGGAGCAAAGACTGGGCTGGACTCCAGCACCCACTGGTGCTCATGAGAACCAAGGTGGTTGTAGGATGGGCTGGTGGTTGTAGGTCTCTGCCTCTACTCAACCATATGTGAGTTGTGTCTGGGTGTAGACCAGGCTTGGCTGGGCTGAAACACCCAGCAGGAAAAACCAGAATGGATGAAGGCCGGTCGGGAAAAGTCACTGTTCCTACTAGGACAGGAGGTGGATGAAGTAGGATGAAGTAGGGCTGGCCCATGGACTCACCGATGGGCACAAGGTCTAGCACTGGGAGAGGTTCTGAGGGAGGAGCTTGGGGAACTCTTCGGTCAGGACACAGGTCCCTACAGGTGAGCACGAAAACCACAATAAGGAGCAGCCAAGACCAGGCCAGGGAATGGTACCCACCAGCATATATTTGGCACAGGCAGGAACAGACTGGAGGCTAACAGGGCTGCACTGGGCTATAGCCTCCACCAGCATGAGCTGGACCTGTGATGGGCCAGTCCAGGCCAGGCTGCAGTACCCATTGGCAAATGCCGAGGTGAGGCGGGCCATTCCACAGCACCCAACCAGCACACATGAGACCCAGGGATTGGGGCGTACACGATAGGGATGCTGCATAGGACTCTACTGCTGGACCACTACTCCCACTGGTTAGCATGAGAGTTGGGGTGCGGGTAGACCAGGCCAGGCAGAGATATAACACTTAATGACCTCATGTGAGCTAGATCAGGAGAATGACAGCTTGGTTGACTGTTTCTACTGGTGCATGCATAAGTCAGAGTGAGTGTCAATTGGATGGGCTTTGCTGCAGCATCAGTTGGCAGATGCTGGCATGGGGAGAAAATTATGTCAAGTTTAACTGCAGAACCACCTGAAGAGTACAAGATCCAGGAGTGGAAGTGGGCCCCGTAGGGGAAAAATGAGCACCGTCCTCTTGGATTGCCACTCCAACTAGTGAGCAAAAGAACCAAGACTAGGGGCAGGCATGACTAGACAGAGAGTGGCAACTGCTGGCTCATGTGTATAGTGGAGGGCTGGTTGGGTTGAACTTAGCTTCCATGCCCTTTGACATGTAGGAGAGCTGAATGGATGTGGGACAGACTGAAACCGTCTGCTGTACGTACTGGCAAACACAGGAACCAAGGCAGGGGGCAGGCCTGATCAGGGTTATTGCAGGTCGCTTTGACTAGGCTTCAGCTCCCACTGGTTTGCGTGAGGACCGAGTATGTGGTGGGCAGGATCGGGGGCTGCAATACCCACTGGTTTGTGTAGAAGATAGGACTGGAGACAGTACTGACACAGCAATTGCAACCATGTACAGAATCACCATGTACAGAGGCTGATTGGGGCGGCAAACTGTGCCAGACCCTATATTGGCAAGCACACACAAGAATCAGGTCTGGGATCACCTCAGATGAGGTTTCTTTAGGAATCCCCCCAACTGCACCACTGGGCTCAGAACTCCAACCATGGAGGAAATTGCGGGTTCCATGATCTGACCATGGAGTGCATGTGTCAGAGCTGGGCTTCCTCAGTGGCTTAGATGGAGCAGTGGACAGCATATCCGGGAGCATGTGGAGGATATGGCAGTACATTTGAGTCTGCAGAGGGCACCTCTCCCTTATCACCCTAATTAACTATGTAAAAATTATTTTAAAAGTTAAAAGTAAAAGCAGCTAGGACTCAAACCAGTGTTCACTGAAGGCTGGCATTCCAAGTAGCAGCTTAGCCCACCATGCTACATCACCTGCTCTAAAACTAAGAGGCTTTTTTCTTTATGTTTTAATATTATTTTTTATGTGAAAGTAAGGTTTTTATAAATAGTACAACTATATATGACAGTAACTTCTCAGATACTGTTCTAAGTATCATTTATGTTAAGCAATGTTTTGCTGTAAAGGGCAGTGGCTTCAAAGTCATTAAATGTTAATCTTAGGTTCACGTTAGAGCACTGAAGATAAAATATTTGCCTAGACTTTTTTTAAATTTTATTACTGTATAGAGAAGAGTCTGTGCATTACATACATACAGTTTCAAGAAGGCTATCACACTTTCCTCATTCCCCTGCTTCCCATTAGTAGAGGATGATGAACATGGGAGACCTGGAGGAAGATCCTTCATGATCTGGTAGGGGTGTTGTTGTGACTATTGGCTAATCCTCCCCTTTCAAGTGTTGGGATCCCATGTAGATGCTGGTTCATATGCCAGCTGCTTCACTTCCCTTCCAGCTCCCTACTTATGTCTTGGGAAAGCAGTAAAGGATAACCCAAAGCCTTGGAATCCTAAAACTACATGGGAGACCTGAAAGAAAGCTATTGGCTCCTGGCTTTGGATCGACAGCTCCAGCCATTGTGGCCTTGAGTGAACCAGCAGATGGAGGATCTTTCTTTCTCTCTCTCCTTCTCTCTGTAGATCTGTCTTTCCTATAAAATAAAATATTTTTTTTTAAGTCTGGTTGAATTTAGTAGTGAAGCCCTCTGGTCCTATTGTCTGAGCTATTCAATGAAGTCCTGTCATGGTTCTACCATACTACAATGTGATTGTAGGCTAGTCACCTATATAAAGGGAGGAGATGGGGCAGTATTTCTTACAGTGGTGCTGTTGTCATTTTTAGAAGTATATTTCTTTGCCGTGAAGAATGTATTTTAGAATGTTTGGTGCCCATGGACCAAGTAGCATCCCCGAGTCACACAATAACTAATGCCCTTTCCTGTGTATTGTGGAATGAAGCGACCACACAATTAATGCTTAGAATACTCTGTCACTTCTGTTCTCTGTCTTCACTTTTTCATATATATTTTTTATTTCTTTATTTTTATTGGAAAGGTAGATCAGATTTATGGGGAGAAGGAAAGATAAAGGGAAAGATCTTCCATCTACTGGTTCACTCCCCAAATGGCCTCCATGGCCAGAACTGAACCGATCAAAAGCCAGAAGCTTTTCTTGGGTCCCCCATGTGGGTGTAGGGTCCCAAGGCTTTGGACTAATCTCTGCTACTTTCCCAAACCATAAGCAGGGATCTGGGTGGTGGAGCAACTAGGACATGAACTGGTACCCTTATGGTATCCTTAAGCTTACAAGGCAAGAACTTAACCACTGAGCCATTGTACCAGGCTCTACTTTTCGAGATGTAACAACTCTAGTTGCTTTCTTATTTTTTCATATATGTGGTATATTGAAATGACTAACAGTAATTTTTATTGATAATTATAGTTTTAGTTCCTTTTTCTCTCTTGCATGGAGATCAGTAGGCTAATGTAGTCATTTCCGTTCTTAACTGTTAGTTTTCTCCTCTTACCAGGAGGTGCCCATGATCCCTCGGCCCCACTACGCTCAGCCAGGCTGTGTTTACTTCATTTGTTTGCTCCGAGATGATTTGCTGCTTCGTCAAGGTGTGTATATAGGCATTAACCCAGCTTTTCAAAACTGACCTCCCGAAGTAGGAAGTATTTCTGCGTAATAGTTATTGTCTTTTTATGTCCTTTAATATCAGTAGTTTTTTTGTATATTTTAGCCCTATGCTTATGTGTATCACTTCTCCACCAAATACTGCTTTGGAGAGTTTTATAAAGCTAATGATACGACTGAGAAAGACAAAGCAGAAACCCAGGAAATAATAAATCTCCCTCATGTCATCCTCGCAACCAAAAATTAATAATCCTTACCTTTAGACCGTTGATTTTAGCTCCTTATATTTATACTTAGATGATGTGTTCTTTTTGTGAAGACTCTGGGTCAGATAAATGTATGCCTACCAGAATTCATGTAAGAATCATTTTCCTTTTCTCCTTTGGTGCTCTCCTAGGTGACTGTGTGTATCTGATGAGAGATAGTCGGCGCACTCCTGATGGCCATCCAGTTCGTCAGTCCTATAGGCTATTATCTCACATTAACCGAGATAAACTTGACATCTTCCGCATTGAGAAGCTTTGGAAAAATGAAAAGTATGTGCTGACATCCTATTTGTATCCTACCAGTAGAGCTAAATATTCAAGAATTTTACTAATCAGCCTCCCATTTCCTACTTTTTTTTTTTAGAGAGGAACGATTTGCCTTTGGTCACCATTATTTCCGTCCCCATGAAACCCACCATTCCCCATCCCGCCGGTTCTATCACAATGAACTGTTTCGTGTGCCACTTTATGAGATCATTCCTCTGGAAGCCGTTGTGGGGACCTGCTGTGTGTTGGACCTTTATACATACTGTAAAGGTAAGTAATCTTGGAAGGTTAAGAATCAACCTTAAAATCCCCTGATCATTAATCTGCAATTATCATCCCATCCCTCTGCCCTCCCTCCCACCCCCTGGCCAGTCCTGTTATTTCTATGTGATAAAAGATTCTTCAAGGCTGGCTGTGAAATTTCAGAAACTTTACTATATTTTTCCCTTCCTTTTATCTAGTGTTTCATACTCAATAAATGTTAATTCCCATTTTAGATAACTTGTTTTTATTACTGTATACTAATTTCCTATCCCAACTCTGTAACAGATTACCTGAGTGTCCTTGAGCAAATTCTAAACTGAAATAGCAATTTTCCCAAAAAAAAATGAAAATTAGTATTTTAAAGGTCTTTTAATAATTAAATAAATTATAAAATCACTTAGTTTATGGTTCATATTCACAGCTTGATAATAAACAAGGGTTAAGATGTGGTAGGGTAAGCTGATACCTGCAGTGTCACTTCCTAAGCAAGTGCTGGTTCAGATACTAGCTGCTCCAGAAGATAGCCCAGATACTTGGTCCTCTGTAGTTTTGTGGGCAACTCAAATGGAGTTCTAGGATCCTGGCTTTGACCTGACCCAGTACCAGTTGTTGTGACTGTTTTAGGGGTTAAACCAAAGGGTGGAGTATCTCTTTCTGCTACTCTACCCTCCAAATAAATAAATTTTTTTAAAAATGTAAAGCTTGGGGAGCTGGTGCATGGTGTAGCACTCAGCCTCAGCCTTCAGTGCCAGGAACCCATATGGGCTTCGGTTTGTGCTCTGGCTGCTCTACTTCTGAGCACCTGTTCTGACAGCTCCCTGCTTATGACCTAGGAAAGCAGTGGAGGATGGTTAAAGTCCTAGGAAGACCTGCACAAAAGTGGGAGACCCAGAAGAAGTTCCTGGCTGCTGGCTTCTGATTGGCTCAGCTCTAGTTTTTGGAGCCAGCTAGAGTGTGAATCAGTGAATGGAAGATATTCTCTCTCTTTCCTTTTTATTCCTCTTCCTCCTCTACTTCTTCCCCTCCTCCTCTTCCTTCTCCTCCTCCTCCTTCTTTGCTGTGTAACTCTACAATAAGAATAAATAAATCTTTAATAATATTTCACATAGGTTTATTCTCATATTTAGCAAAGTTTAGTCACCTACTTCTTTATCTCAGTATAATACTAAAGCCATCCAAAAAAGTTTAGATTCCATTCTAGAACCTAGTTCCATGACACTGACAGATTCTCCCAGTTAAAAAGGATACAGTCCTAAATGTAATTGCCTTTTATACTTGCTTTCATTTCTCTTGACTTCTTATATTCTGCTATTTTTCTAATCAAAATATCCATTCAGAAATCCCTGGAGCACTCAATTTGCATTTTGGCTTTCTTTCCATCCTGTATTGTACCATTCTCTACTTAACATTCCCTTCTCATTTTGGTTATTAGTCCATGGGAACTGCCCTTTCTTTATTTTTTTTTTTAAGATTTACTTATTTGTTGGAAAGTCAGATATACAGAGAGGAGGAGAGACAGAGAGGAAGTTATTCTGTCCGATGATTCACTCTCCAAGTGAGCGCAATGGCCGGTGCTATGCCAATCTGAAGCCAGGATCCAGGAACTTCTTCCGGGTATCCCACATGGGTGCAGAGTCCCAAGGCTTTGGGCCGTCCTCAACTGCTTTCCCAGGCCACAAGCAGGGAGCTGGATGGAAAGTGGAGCAGCCGGGATTAGAACCGGCGTCCATATGGGATCCCGGGTGTGCAAGGCAAGGATTTTAGCCACTAGGCCACGCCGCCGGGCCCAACTGCTCTTTATTTTACAACCACCAAATGGGTTGTAATTCACCCTCTGCAGGTATCTACTGTTTCTTAAAAGGGTATAGCTCCTTCCCCATTGGGATGTAGTAGTTTGTGGGCATCCAGGGGTTAAAGGGCTGGGGAAAGGACTATTTAACAGTATTTGGATTCACAGGGAGACCCAAAGGAGTGAAGGAGCAAGATGTCTACATCTGTGATTACCGGCTTGACAAATCCGCACACCTTTTTTATAAAATCCACCGGAACCGCTATCCTGTCTGCACCAAGCCCTATGCTTTTGATCACTTCCCCAAGAAGCTCACACCCAAAAGGGATTTCTCAGTAAGTCTCCTTTTTGCTTACCAGTACACATCAGGACAGTGTGGTTCTTGTGTGGAATTTACCGAGTGAGAATCAAGTTTCTGTCTTCCTCATCCTATTTCCAATCCAAACTAGAAATTTCTCTCTGGGTTGTTTTAACAGCATAAAAACATTCTCTCTCACATGTCTCAGGAAATCATTGATTAAAATATTATACCTTGATCAGGTTTTCCTTTCTGCATTCACTGCTAATCTTTGTTATTGAGCTCAACATCTCTAGGATTTTTGATTGTGTTTTGTTTGTATTATTTTTCATGGTCATAATCTTAAGAGGCAGAAAGAATGAAAAAACAACAACCAAAAAAACCTTTGCTGAAGACAATTTAGTGCTTATTTTTATGCCTAGATTTAAAACATAAGAGAAAAAAAAAACTATCCCACTAGCCGGAAAATAACAATTATGAGTGACTTATTTTCAGCCATTTTCTGATGTATTTTTCTTCCCAGTTATTGAAAACAGGCACTGGTGTTCTGTAGTACTCATCTTCTTGTAAAGACTGGCTATACATGAGGCTCCTGTTGAGCTCAGCAAATAAGAAGCTACATTGGCTCCCTGTATCAGAGTGTCTAGGTTCAAATCCCAACTCTGCTTCCCATTCCAAATTCCTACTAATGCACACCCAGGAAGACAAGAAAGGATGGCCCAAATACTTGAACTTTTTCCACCACCCCTGTGCAAGACCCAAATTGAAGCCCAAGCTCTTGATTCTGGTTTGTCCCAGCCCTGTCTATTACAGGCATTTCAGGAGTTAATCAGCAGATGAAAGATGTCTTTGTCCGTGTTTTTCTGCTTTTCAAGTTAAAGAAAATAAATAAAAATGGAAATTTTAGTTATCTGTTCATCTATTGGCCTATAATGCTATCCTACTTGAACTTCTCCTTTCTGAGACTTTTTCAGTGAATCTGTCATTCTAGGGTTACAGAATGTTAAAAACCATTATGGCCTACAGATTGATATAAGTTGTAATTTCTGCCATGAAACACAAGTTACTTAGAAGTCCTGTAGCCCTGTGTGCCTTGAGTGGTCCTAGACCAGCCTAGGAGCAATGTGCTTACCTTTCCCTTTTCTTTTTTACAGCCTCATTATGTTCCAGACAACTACAAGAGGAACGGAGGGCGGTGAGTCCCATAGAGATGGAAAGATCCTAAGAGATTACCCTGACTTGAGCAAGAGAACAAGCAGCTTCCCTCTCATCCATCTCTAGTATTGGCTGTTCTCTGCAGAATTAGCTCTGTATGGTGTCAGCACTGATTTGGAAAACTAGACTTTGTTGTGTGTAGTCCCCTAATGGGGTCTCAGTTGGGGCAGGAAAGAGAATTGCAGAGTAAAGATATAAAGAAGGAGGTTGTTTGTAACAGAACTCCAAACAAACTCAGAAAACACTTGTTCAGATGTCTATAAGCTTTCCCATTAACTCCAGGTATCTCAGTTCTTGGTACCTCTGTAAAGAAACAGACATATGGAGCAGGCATTTAGCCTAACTGTTGAAATATCAGCTTCCCACATCAGTATGTAGGTTCAGTCCTCTATCAGAGTGCCTAGGTGTAAGTCCCAGCTGTGCTACAACTTCCAGCTTCCTGCTAGTGCATACCTTGGGTTGTAGCAAGTGATGGTTCAAGTACTTAGGATCCTGGTCACCCCGATGGAACTCTTGGGTGCAGTTCCCCAGCAGGAGTAAATGAGCAGATGTGAATATGCTCTCACTCCCTCTCTCTTTCTCTCTGCCTCTCAAATAAATAAAGCAAATGAAGAAAATTTTTAAAAGAAACAAGTAGCCAGAAGTACAGTTTTGACTGAATAGTGTAGGTTTATATTTACTGTTTTTGCTTATTTGATCCTTGAAAAAGGCATTCCTAGAGATTGAACAGTTTCTTTTTCTGTTGAATGAAGGCATAATAACTGCTTTACCCACCTCAGTAGCTTATTATAAGGGAAAAAATACAATATAAAAGATGCAAAAAAAAAGAGGGGGATTCAGGAGAAGTAAATCCTTTATTAGATGCCTATTATTATCATTGGACTGTACAGGTTTTTTCATACTTCTGTTATTGAAGCGGTCAGAACCAGGCAAGCAGTTTTATCAGCCCTATTATATATATTTTTTTAAACTTTTTTTTTAAGATTTATTTATTTATTGGAAAGTCAGATATACAGAGAAGAGGAGAGACAGAGAGGAAGATCCTCCATCCGGTGATTCACTCCCCAAGTGAGTGCAACGGCCAGTGCTATGCCGATCCGAAGCCAGGAACCAGGAACCTCTTCCGGGTCTCCCACACAGGTGCAGGGTCCCAAGGCTTTGGGCCGTCCTCAACTGCTTTCCCAGACTACAAGCAGGGAGCTGGATGGAAAGTGGAGCAGCCGGGATTAGAACCAGCGCCCATATGGAATCCCGGGGCGTTCAAGGCGAGGACTCAGCCACTAAGCCACACCGCTGGGCCCAAACATTTACATATTTTTATTGGGAAGTCAGATAGACATAGAGGAGGAGAGATAGAGAGGAAGATCTTCTGTCTGATGATTCACTCCCCGTGACCGCAACGGCCAGTGTTGCACCAATCAGGAGCCAGGAACTTCTTCCAGATCTCCCACACAGGTACAGGATCCCAAGGCTTTGGGCTGTCCTCAACTGCTTTCCCAGGCTGCAAGCAGGGAGCAGGATGGGAAGTGGAGTTGCCGGGATTAGAACCAGCACCCATATGGGATCCCAGGCGTTCAGGGTGAGGACTTTAGCCACTAGGCCACACCACCAGGCCCAGCCCTGTTATATTTTTATGGGTTTCCTTCTCATACATGTTTCAGATTCCTAAGGAAAAGAATAAAAGTTTAGGGTCCATGTTTGGCAGAGCAGTTAAACTGTCATTTCAGACACCTGCATCCTACTTCAAAGTGCCTGGATTCAAGTCCCAGATCCTTCCAGTTTCACCTGCCTGCTAAATGCATGTCCTGGGAAGCAGCCTATGTTGGCTAAAGTCCTTGAGTCCCTGCCACTCATGTAGAACACCCAGACTAAGTTCCTGCCTTTGACCTGGCCCATCCATAAGCTGGTATAGGCATTTGGGAATGACTCGGCAGATGGCAAGATTTCTCTGTGTCTGTTTGTCGCTGCCTTGGCCCTTCCAAGAAATAGACAAAGTTTAATTTTACCAATAAAATCTAAATTACAGAGCCTGGCACGGTAGTCTAGTGGCTGAAGTTCTTGTCTTGCATGTGCCAGGATCCCATATGGGTGCCGGTTCATTTCCAGCTCCCCGCCTGTGGCCTGGGAAAGCAGTAGACCATGGCCCAAAGCCTTGGGACCCTGCTACCACGTGGGAAATCTAGAAGCTCCTGGCTCCTGGCTTCAGCTCAGCTCAGCTCCGGCCATTGTAGCCACTTGGGGAGTGAAACAGTGGTTGGATGATCTTTTTCTCTGTCTCGTCTTCTCTCTGTATATCCACCTTTCCAATAAAATAAATAAATCTTAGGAAAAAAAAAACTGAGTTACAGGAACCAGTATTTTGGTATAGTGGGCTAAGCCACTGCCTGCTGTGTTGACATCCCATACTGGTACTGGTTCCAGATCTGGCTACCCCCCTTGCAATCCAGTTCTGTGTTAGATTGCCTGGGAAGAAAGCAGAGAACAGCTCAAGTGCTTGGGTCCTTGCATCCCATGTGGGAGACCAGAAAGCAGCTCTATCTGTTTTCACTTGGGGAGTGAATCATCGGATGGAAAATCTTCCCTTCTGTCTCTCCTCCTCTCTGTATATCTGACTTTGCAATTAAAAAAAAAAAATTGGAGAAAGGTGGTGAATTGTTAAAATAAGAATGAGTTCTAAGATTTTTTTTAAGACTTAATTATTTGAAAGAAAGGAGAGGGAAGAAGAGAGAGAGATTTTATCTGCTGGTTCATTACCCAGTTGGCCACAATGGCCAGAGCTGGGCCACAAAAGAATGAGTTACTGGTTTCCTACCTTGGGATTTCAAGCCATTTTGAGAACTCTTAACCTTCCTTCTCCATCCCTCCCCAAGTGCCTTCTTGGCTTTGCCCTAAAGTCCCATATCCTTCTGGCAGATCCTCCTGGAAGTCTGAGCGCTCGAAGCCCCCTCTCAAAGACCTGGGCCAGGAGGATGATGCTCTGCCCTTGATTGAAGAAGTTCTAGCCAGCCAGGAGCAAGCAGCCAGCGAGATGCACAGCATGGCAGAGCCAGAACAGGAGCGAGCTGCTGCTGAAATCAATGAGGGTGAGAAAAAAGCAGAGGAAAGCAATCCAGAGGCCCAGCCAGCCTGCACCCCTGAGGAGCGACGGCATAACCAACGGGAACGACTCAACCAGATCCTGCTTAATCTCCTGGAAAAAATTCCTGGAAAAAATGGTAAGAAGAATCAGGCTCATATCTGAGGTGTAAAGTGATTAAGAGGGGCGGGCATTTGGTGCACCAATAAAGCCATTTCTTGCTTAATCCCATCTCAGAGCCTGGGTTTCATTTCATGGCTGGCTCTCCTCCTTCCAGCTTCCTGCTTACGCACAGCATGAAAGGCAGCAGGTGACGGCTCAAGTACTTGGATTGCTGGCACTCATGTGGGAGACCTGAGTTAAGTTCCAGGCTCCTGGCTTCAGCTTGGCCAGTCCTAACTGTTGTGCAGACTGGAAGAGTTCTTTCTGTATTCCTGTTTCTATTTCTCTCTGCCTTTCAAATAATTTTCTTCTAGAAATTAAATACAATAATTCGTGAATGATTAAGAGGGAGAGAAAACAGAGCACCTGTGTTTTGTTTTGGGGGGTTTTGTTTATTTGTTTTTTTCTTTCTTTAAAGATTTTATTTCTTTGGAAGACATGATTACAGGACAGAAGGATCTGGGCGGGAGAGATCTTCCATGTATTTTCACTCTCCACATAAATGGCTGCAACAACAGGGGCTGTGCCTCGTCGGGAACAGAACTCCATCCAAGTCTCCATGTGCGTGGCAGGAGCCAGATGCTGCTGCTTTCTCAGGCTCACTAGCAGGGAGCCTGTTTGGAAGTGGCATATCAAGGACTGATCTGGCATCCGCAGGGTTCCCTCAGGTTGCAGATGGCATCTCAGTGTGCTGTATCACACTGCCAACACTAAGCAAACTTCTAGTTACTTGCTCTAGCATGGGAACTGTTCTAAGACAATGGGTTAGTTCCTTCACAGGCCTGCATTTAGTTATATCTTAGAAGTAAAATTTGGGGAGCTGAAAGAATTTTCTTCATCTAATAGAGAAAGGCCTATACTACTTACAGGTCAGAGACCAAATCATTACATTCCCCTGCTGTCCTTGCAGCTCAGATCTGGAGGGAGGAGTGGGAGAGTTGCATTTGATGAACCTGCTTGTTTCTGTTTGCAGCCATTGACGTGACCTACTTGCTGGAGGAAGGATCGGGCAGGAAACTGCGAAGGCGTACTTTGTTTATCCCAGAGAACAGCTTTCGGAAGTGATCCTCAGGAACAGGAACCTCCTGCATCTGTGAGCCTGTGGAGCTCATCAGTCCTGCTCCTGCTCCCTGCGTGTGGACAGGGTGGGAAGGGGCCATCCAGGCAAGGGCAACGTGGCCATGTCGTCAATATTAGGTACTTAACACACTTTGAGGCTAGTGGAGAGGAAGAGGAAGGGGGTCTGTACAAGACAATTCAATTTAATTAATTTTCCTCTCCATTGCATCACCCTAATGGTAATAATGTAGAAAGGAGGGAGGACCACACTGGGGAGAACCAACACCTGCTGGTACTTGCCTCCCCCAGCAGCTTAGGTTTTTCTGGGTTATCCTGTGATCTCACAGGCACTGCTAAGAAGCTGCTTCCTCCACCCAGGTAAAACTCAATCCAAAGGGATAGAGCCAGGACCCCCAGCCCTACCCCATCTGTTCTCCGTTGGCTCCCAGAGCTACCCCGGAGGCAGAAACAGAAATGCCAGCTGGGACGTCCTCCCACATCCCTGGTGGGAATGTTTCTCTCTCCTTTCTGTGCAACCAGGTCAAAGGAAAGCGTGTGTTGATGGCTCAAAGCACTTAGGGCTACTGCTCCTCTCCCTGCTTCTGCTCCTTCAAACGGAATTCTGGGACAGGGAGGGCCCCTATGGGGTCCAAAGGGCAGTGTGTCTTGTAACTATTTTCAGTTTTTTGTTTCACCCTTCATAACCTGCCGAACACATTTTTTTTTCCTAATGAGAAAGCCAGGCCCCCGCCAACACATGTGCTGTTTTTGATGCGCTGTGGTTTCTTGTGTGTCTGCTGTGCTGTGCAATCAGAAACTAATTTCACAATAAAATCATTTAACCCCACACAACAGAAACTCTAACCTCCCAACTAAAGTCACTACATAACCTGTTCAGCAGTATTCACCTCTCAGAGTATTTGTTGTGAGTGTAGATTATCAACTGAAAACACTACTTTTGTTTTCTTACTTGTACAGGTTCAATGTTCATCTCTTAAAGAGACAGTGTTCTCCCTTCCCCTGTAATCCCACCTCTCCTCCACCCTCCTGAATGACCTCATCATCAGGAGGTATATCCAGGGTGTCTCCTTCTCTCCCACTCTTGCCCAGAAGTTACTAGACTATACTGTCTCTTTAAAAATGAAATTTAAAAAGCTTTGCTTTGTTGTCTTTTCAGACATACATATGCATATATGTTTTAGATGTTCTTATAAAAGATGGTTTTTAAATGTGCCAAGTTGTGTGTATGTGTGTGTATATATATGTGTGTGTGTGTGGGTGTGTGTGTATATATATATATATATATATCTGCTGCGTGATTGGTAAGCAATACAATAGTAAACATGTCCCCATTACTTTTTTCTAATATTGGACCAATGCTGTCCTAATTGTACATTTTCCCTTATGATGACGACGCTCTGACTCGTTTAGGTAGAAACATTTACCACCTTCCATTCCATTGAATTTTTTTTTTATTTCCTTTCTGTGTCATTCTTGAGGGAAAAAAAAAAGAGGCAGGGGATGCCTAGATCCCCATGAGCAGAGAAAAAGCAAAATAAATATTTTATTAAAGAAAAAAGAGAATTAAGAAAATAGTTTGGAGTATTTTCTTACTGTAGAGAAGCACTGTACATTACTAAGAGACCTGGGTATAAGATCCTCATGTGTGGAGCTGGAAAAATCGCATGTTGAAGCCCATTTGAGCGGTTTCTTTTGTTTTTCCTTGCAGGGAGTGGGTGGGAGGGAACTGGGACTAGGGGCACTTTGTGGGGGGGGAAGTCTCCTTTTAGTCAAAAGCAAGAAAATGACAAGAAAGAGATTAAAATTCAATGTTTCCTTTAATAGTGTTAAAACACTAAAATTTTAAAAAAGATAAAAATTTTAAAAAAACTTTGTAAAATGCAAAAACAGAAGCAAAAGACACTACGCTCTGTCATTTTATCTTTCTTTTGTTGAAAGACTAAAAACAAATGTTTTTTAGACAATCAAATGTTAGGTAAGTGCAAAAACTTGTTTTCTTACTGGTGTAGAAATTAATGCCTTTTTTATTTTTCAGTTATTTTATAATAACAAAATATAAGAACCCCCAGCTGCCAGGTGGGTTTTGGTGTTTGAAATGCGGGACAAAAGCACTACATCACTGCAAATAGATACCAAGTTAGTCTGCATGTCTGTAGGCTGTGTGATTGCGGAAAATATAAATGCTGCTAATATATTTCCTTTTTACAAAAGCGTATCTAAATAGATGATTGTTTTGATGTTAATCTTTGTAAATTATGTATTACCAATTTTAACATTGGATGTAATTGCATAAAAAGCTTGCATCTGAATCCTTGAAAGTCTAGTATTAAATGGAAAAAAAACTTTTCCTAAGTGCGCATTCATAAGCTTGCTATTTTTTTCCTCTTCCCCTACCTTCAGTTTATCTCCCAGGATCTTCTCCATCCTCTTTCCAAGAACATCTTCCTTAAAACCACATTGTCAGCATCCTGGCCCCCACACGGGCACACTCAGTGCTGGTGACTACTAGATAAGCTAACCATTTCTGCAATAGTAAAATCTTTTCTAATTTGAACTCAATCCTAACCAGTTAGCACCTTAAGTAGCCGTACCAGATATCCAGCTTTTTCTCAAACATGCAGTGTCATTGTGTACAACCATCCTTTGCACAGACTTTCACCATCTCCTTAGCAATCTCTGAGGCTACATAGCTCCAGACCACATCTTAGGTCATTATGTGTTAGGCCATTTCTGTCACAGTGTGGTTTCCCTGTATTCATTGATTAACCCTTACAACAGCCCTTTGTTGGAAGGTCCTGAAACTAAAATGAGGAAAGAAACAGAAGCAGCAGATGGATTAAGTACCACGCACAAAACCACATAGCTTGTTAATTAACCTTCTTACTCTGAAACTGTTCAGTGGCATTTTGAGAAATGAAAACTGAAACTAGGGAAAGCTAAGTAACTTGCTTACCATCACCTAGGAACCAGTGTCGGGCCAGAACTCCAGAGTCTGTGCTGGGATGTTTCAGAAATAGTGACTCACTAATTAGGGAAAACAAGTCCACTGGTGCCATTAACTGGAAGGACAAAATTTTGTCCCAGCCACACACCGATACTGGGAATTTGACCAGCTACTTTGTTAAACATAAGACATCTGCTAACTGGGAAAGTCCGCCTCCACTTCTACAAAAACTTGGGGCTTGAGCTCAGACCCCAGTGCTGTTATATTAACAGTTCCTTCCTAACTGCAAAAACAAGAATTAGTTTTGTTTTGAAAATCTTCTATCTGCTGGCTCACTTTATTCCCTAGATGGCCACAGTGGCTGGAGCTGAGCCAACCCAAAGCCAGCGACCAGGAACCTCTTTCAGGATTCCCACACAGATACACAGTCCCAGAGGACTTGAGCCATCTTCTTCTGCTTTCCCAAGCCATAAGCTGGGAGCTGGCTGGGGAGTGGAATAGCTGACACTGGTGCCCATATAGGATGCCAGTGGTGGAGGATTAATCTGTTGAGCCACTCACCAAACCCAACTGGTGTTTTGTTTGCTTGTTTTTTAACTTTTGGTACCTACCACAGTTGTCACATTCTAGATAGTATAGAATAATTATCCAAATCTAAATTTTATATCTATAGTGTGATTTGGTCTATTTTATTTTCTTTAGAGAAGTCCCCTGCTCTCTTACTATCTGCACAAGCATGAGAGCCATAACCTGTGATTGCAAATGTCACAGCAGGTCAGATCTCACTGAAATGTTTAAAACAGTGTTGTTCCAGGAATCTCCCCAATTGCTAGAATTAACCACTTAAACCAAGCACGTGGGAATAGGAGACAGGAGGAAAGGGCAGGTTGAGTTGGAGGAAATAAAAGCTGTATTATTGGGGCCACCAAGATTACTCTGCAGACCTCACTTTGAGAAATATTAATCCCACTGACAGATAGCAGCCATGTTCTCTATCATCTGTTACCCTGGACATGATGTATAGAAATATAGTTGCTTTTGTGATATTTCCAAGAGCCTTACAAATTGGAGAATTCATGCTCCCCTGTGTGTGCTAACAGCATTTCTGGAGGCCTGTTACCCAATTTGAGAAATGTTTCCCTAAGAAACATCTGAAATGCAAATTGAGATCCCAAGTTGGGATGATATGGAGCCAGAGCTGTGCACAGGAATTAAACTGCCACGTTGGACCCAAACCCCCTGTTACAGTACAGGCAGATGTTCTGCTTCCAGTCCAGTTTCTTGCTAATACGCTTGAGAAGGCAGTGGATGGTGGCCTAAGTACTTGGACTCTGCCACCCATGTGAGAATATAGGATATACTTCCTGGCTCCTAGCTTTGGTCTGGCACAGACCTGACTATTGTAACCATTCAAGGAGTGAACCAACAGGTAGATGCTTGCTCTCCCTCTCAGAAATAAAGTTTTTAAGTAAAATTGGAAAGCTAGAAACAAACATAAATAAGTAAACAAATCCAGGAACCAATTAACAACAGGAATTGGCCAGGAATGAAGAATATTTGTCTTAGGAAATGACAGAAGTATGAGACATTTCTTACCAGGCCCATTCCTGAATTATATCAAAGCTTTGACTCATTAAGGTTTCTCCATGGACCCAACACTTAAAAGCACCAGAATCCCAGTTCTGGCATTAAATAGGTGCCAGGTTACATGCCAGCTACTGCTCTTCCCATCCATCTTCCTGCTTGTGGCCTGGGGTGTCAGTTGAGGATGGCCTAAAGGGCTTGGGATCCTGTACCTGCATGAGAGACTTGAGGCTCCTGGCTCCTGGCTTCAGATGAGCTTGGCTGCAGCTGTTGCAGCCTCTTGGACTGAAGCAGCAGATGGAAGATTTTTCTGTCTCTTCTCTGTAAATCTGCCTTTCCAATAAAAATAAAGCTTTAATTTAAAAAAAAAAAAAAGGTTTTCCAGTATTTCCCCAAGTCCCCTCCCCTGTCACCATCCAATTGTCTCCAACCAAGTTCCCCAAGATAAAGGAAAACTGGGTGTTTATTTTGCCCTGCCTTTTACTTCATAGTTTGCAAACTCCCGTTACTTGCCTGCTGCCTGGTTAGAATTCTGACTTCCACCTTTTGGTGATTTCCTCTTAAGAAATCATATATTGCTATTCTCCAGCCACAGAGCATCTCTACTATTCTCATCTCAAAAAACAGAAACTCACCCATTCCTTACAAAGGAATGGATAGCAGGTTGTTTAAAGCAAAACACTTGAAATAACCACCACTGACTGGCAATAATGTGTCACTTCCTGGAATTCTTTAATCCTTCCCTTCCATCTCAGATGATGACTTACAGTCAGTGCAATTCAGACGGCTCCCCCCTCACCTCCTTCTTCGTTCAGGCTCCCGTCCTGTAAGCCTTAACACCACCAAGTCTTGAGTAAAGAAGCACTCGTTAGAGTCGGGCACCAAGCAGGGTCCCTTCTCCATTCCTTCCTCAGAAAATACGAAGAGCTGGGCCCAGGTTAGTCAGGACACCTCCACCCTGGGCCTCCCTTCCCCCAAGCCTGGCACCTAAAAGCCATAGGAACGCACACACTCCACTCCCACACTTTATTGGAACAAAGAGGGAAGGGGGCCGAACACCACAGGCCCACCCGCCAGGGGTGTCCAGGCTTGAGCACCTCTTACAGCAGGAGTACTTCATAAATACAGGCGACGTGAGGAGATGAGAGTACTGCACACACAGCAAAGAGTCCAGCGGCCCTTCCAGCATGGGGACCAGGGCACACACTACACTGGCACAGTCCACTCAGGGTGGCTAACACATTTCCATGAGGCAGATAGGGAAAGAAGAGAGGGGTTGCAAGAAGGAAATTCCTGTTTATATACTTGGAAGAAGAGCAGATTCCACCTTACAGATGGGCATGGGAGGGCAGACGGAAAGTTTATTTTAAATATTTGTAGCAGAAATGTGTGTAGGAACAAATGCCATTTTGTGGACAGGGAAGAAGGCTCTGGGGTGGTGGGTTAGTGTTCAGAAGCCATTCTGTTCCCAGGTGCTGGGAGGGAACCGCAGGCGGGACAGGACGGAGGTCCCTGGGCTAGAGAACGAGTGAGGTATAGCCAATAGGCACTAATCCTTCAGTGCCATCCCGCCCACAGCGAAGCCAGTCCTCATCCACTGTCGTGATGACCCGCAGCACCTCCCCACGCCGGAAGCTCAGCTGCTCAGGTCCTGCAGCAGTGTGGTCACAGAGAGTCCGAACAGCCCTGGGGGGAGAGTGAGATGCCAAGATGAAAAGAGGCACATATTCTCAGCTGTCCACAGACCTCATCTCCGCCACTGCAGAGTGCCCCCGTGGGTGTGGCTCAGTGCGTGTGGACTGGGCTCTGAGAGATTAGATACCCATCTATCGATAGGCTGCATCTGTGTAAGTCCCCAGCCCTTCCTCTTCCTGAGTATCTGACCTACCTATCTGATACTTGCTGCTTCAGATTGCACACACAACACACCAAGTGGCACCTCCGCCAGCCCAGCTGGGCCCTCCTCTTGTGTCCCCTTAGACTGATAAAGGGTACTGCTTTGTTCCAGTTGCTGCCAACCCAAACTCAGGCATTGCCTTCCCTCCATCACCAAAATCCACTCCATCACCTGTTACACCATCTATTTCTCTTCAACTCTATTGCCAGCATGTGAGCTTAGGCCATCATACCCTTTTTCTACCCCCTCTCCCTCTTGGAGGATCTAGTTGGTCTTCATGAACCTCTCTTGGTTTGCCTCCTTAAGTCCCATTCACACAGCAGTCACATCTTCCTAAGACACAAGCAAGCATGTGCCTTTACCAGCATCCCACTGCCTCACAATGTGTTCCAGTGAGCCCTCCAGCTACAGCCCCTGCACACCCACAGTTTCCCATGTGGCATGTGTGGGCCTCCCTACCTCTGCCTCCCCTTCCTCTTGCAGCATGTACAGCCCTCTAACCACCACCAAGCCTCCCCTCAGGGCCTCAGACCTCAGTCCTGTCCATATGGCTCCAGAGGCGCCATCTTCCTGAGGCGGCGTCTTTGACACAGGAAATGGCAATTGCTCACTGATTCGCTCTTATCTCCCCTGGACCATGATGAGCTCCTTGCATTCCCCAGACCCCTAGAGTTGACCTCTGCATCCTCCCTGACCTAACACAGGGCAATAGGAAGTGCTTGGAAATTACAGCTGAATGGGAGATACATCTAGAAGCTTAATTCAGTGGCCTGAGTGAACACAGTGCAGCCTCTAGGCCAAAGAAGTCTCTACTAGGAGAATGTGCAGTCCTTCCACATTCACATACCCATGGCATGGCCAATGCTTGAACAAGCCACTCTAACACCCACAGTGTGGCTAACACAACACAGGGTGACCAGCGCGTTTCCCACCAGCCCTTACCTGTGGGCCTGCACCATGCTGGACGCTGAAACCTCAGGCTCCTTGGGCAAACATGGAGTCTCAGGAGGGACCCCCCGCTTCACGAGGGCCAGCATACTCACTGTTGGGGGCAGCCAGCTAGATGGTCTCCTAGGTGGGGGGGGGGGGGGAGGCCTCAGGCTCGCGGAGGTCATCCCACCTCCAGGGGGAGCCCAAGATAGCATTCAGGGATTAGGAGAGGGAGGAGGGGGCCTGGCTGGGAGATGGTCACTGCTAATGGGCAAGGTGGCACTGAGGCCCTCACTGCCTAGCATCTTGCAGGGGGGTATTAGGGAGATGACAACTAGGGTCTCTAGTGCCAAAAATCTCAAAGGGCTCGAGGAAGCAGCAGGGGATCTGTCCAGGATGAGAGTTAAGGGAGTCCATGAGAGAACCTCCAGCAGTCATCCTAGGGCCAGGGTGGCCAATGCCTGCTTTCTACAAGGTCATGGGGAAGAAAGGTCGGGGCATCTTCCAAAACATCAAATCGTTACTTCAAAAACAAACCATGACCGTGACAATGCAGCCACTTACAAGGCTGTAGGTAACAGTGGCATAACCTCTTCACCCACCCCCACTTGCAAAAAGGCTGTCTCTAGAGGGTCTTTGGAGCAGCCCATGGGGCCCTGAGAGGGTCAGAAGACCACAGAGGGAACAGGCACCCAGATACCTGGATTTCAGGGCCCCATTCTCAGTTTCCGCAGAACCCCCAGGAACTCCGAACAGCCTCCCGAACCAAACGCCTCTGCCTGGTGCCGCCTCCACTGTAGGCAGGGATCTCTCCTGTGCACTCCCAGCAGCAGCTCCTGGGCGCTTCGGTCCCCACCGAGGCAGAGGGAAGCCCTCAGGGCCCCCCGAGGCATAGACCCGGGATGCCTGGGTCAGCTGCTCCCACCAGCCGCCTGGGGCAGGGGCCTTTGGAGGAGCCGATGTCGCTGCAGTGTCAGGAGCAGCCTCCTCGGAAGCCCCCCGAAGGGTCTGGGCCAGTCGCCCCCCCCAGTGCAGCATGGCCTGCACGGTCTGCTGCAGGGCTGGCGGTGGGCCTGGTGGGGCCGGTGAAGCAGGCGGGCCCAGGGCCAGGTGGTGGTGGTGCTCAAAGAGGAGGTCCAGGTGGAAGGTGAGCACAGACAGGGGCTGTAGCAGGAGCAGCAGCTCCGTGGACAGGCCCGGGCAGCTGCTACGGGCCAGTGAGAAGAATCCAGTGGGCAGGTAGAGGAGAGACAGCAAGCCTAGGAAACAAAGTGGAGCCAGTGTCAGGCTGGTGGCCTGGTCGTGGGCCTAGGCTGCACACCCTTCCCACATCAGCCCACCACACACACCCTTGCCAGGCCTTGTTCTGGCACTGAGGGGCCCATGGCAGAACACAGGACTGCCACATCTCAACCCTGAGAGAGAGCACTGGTGGGGCCAGATACCTGACAGTAACGCTCAGGGTAGAGAGGAGGACCATGGGGCACCCAGAACGTGGGGAGAACTGGAGTGCAGGTGGAGCTTCACTGGGGGAGCAGGAAGGAGGGACAAACCAACACGATGCAGTAGTTATGAGGCAAAGAGGACCAGACAGGGAGAGTGGAGTCGAGGCCACAGGCAGTGCTGAGCCAGTGCTGAGCCTCAGGCAGGACAGAAGGAAAGAAGCACCAGGAAGCTGAAGCAGAACGCCAATAAACTCAGCCAGAACTAGCAGCAGCGCACCCTCCCTGCCTCTCCCTTCCCTCCGCCCGGAGCTTCTGACCTGCATCTTCCTGAAGACTTGAAAACCACAGCTCCAACTGCTTGGTGCTGCAGGGGGGAGGGAAAGGGAGTCAGTGGGTGCAGACACACACGGGTCTGTCCAGGAGGTCTCCTTCAAGGCAATGGGGTCCACCCACGATGCCCCTGGAGTCCTCAGGGCCCAGAAGGAACAGTGGGAAGAAAGCCATACTCACTTGAGCAAGCCCAGGATGAAGGCATGGAAGCGGCTCCGGCTGCTGCTCAGCGGGGCCAGACGGCTGACCTGGTTATACAGGGTTCCCAGAGAGCAGGTGCTAGCGCCTGAGCACAGGGGCGGTGGGGGCGCGGTCAGCCAGGACTTGCCCCACCAGCCTCCTCCCCACCCACCCCGCTCCCTCCGGGCCCACCTGGCTTCACCGAAGCCTCTACCACGCTCCAGGGGCTGCTGCGGCGCTGCCCGGTGATGAGATCCTTGCGAAAGGGCTTCAGCCCGTCAGCCACCAGGGCGTGCAGCGCTGGACACAGGGTGGTCAGAACCAGGTGGCCCACGTCCGGACTGAGTCGGCTGTCCCCTAGCTGGGCCTGGAGGCAACGCAACGGGGAGGGGTCCAGGGAGATGCCCTGGCACCCACCCTCCACCCCAACGTTAACCATGCCCCCCTCCCTTGCCACCTTCACCTTCTGAACCAAGTTCCGGGCCGCCCCAAAGTGCGAGATGATCTTATCCACCGAGGCACTGACCGCGATCAGGAGACCTGGGACGGAAGGCACAGGGGAGCCGGCCCGACCCAAGGGCAGTGGATAAACAGACGGGGCTAAGCAACTGGATCCCGGGAACCCGAAATGGGGTGAGGGTGCCCACGCGAGGAGTGGAGCCAGGGGACTACCCTCCCTACCTTTCTTCTGCTCCTGTAGCTGGCCAGTCCCACTCCGGGCTTCTGCCATCCACAGCCGTTGAGCCCAGGGAACGCCGGCGAAGGACCAGGAACTACGGACTGGGGGATTTGGGAAGAAGTGACACTTACCGAAGGTGACCCAACAGCTGTGGGCTCCCCGCACAGGCCATCTCCAGGGATCAGCGGAGAAGAGGAGGTGTCTGCCGCGCCCAGCCCTTCTGCAGGGTCGCGCGGAGAGGGAGAGCACGGCTGGACCCGGGTCCTCTCCCCACGCACCCTCCTCCCGAGGGGAGCCCTTCCTCCACCCACCTCCTGAACCCGGGAGCTCGCTCCGCCTGCCGGACAGGGGCCCTGCCCCGCCCAGCGCCGGGGAGCACGTGGGGGATCCCGAACCAATGGAAAGACAGACAGACGGGGAAAGGAAGGAGGGCGGAGGGAGCCTGGAAGGCGCCGGAAAGGGGAAACCGGGTCCCGCGCCCTCGTCTGGGAGTCGGCTGTGCCCCCAAATCCCATCTCCCCGAGGGGGCAGAGCTTGTGGGGCGTGGTTTATGATGGGGCGTGGCCATGCGCCCCCAAATGCTTCCCCCTCTACCCACCCCAAGCAAAGGGGTGGCCCCGCAGGAGTGCGCTGGAGGCTGCTACTGCAGGTCGCGCACTTTGCACTGGGACAGCCCAGAGTCGGGCGTGGGGGCCGGGTAAGCCGTGTCCACTTTGCCCCGGGCAGACCTGGCCACGAGGAGTGCAATGAGGGCAAGACACCCCCAGGCGGGACCAGCAGTGACCTTGGCTGGAATTGGGGGCCCCAAGTTCAAGGGTGCAATCAAGCCGGGGATGCCCTGGGGAACAGCTGCCACTGAGGGTCCGGATGGAAAGGGGGTGGCCCCTCCGGAGGCGTGGCTCGCGGGGCTGGCCCGCCGCCGTCTTACGTAGCCTGGGCGGAGGCGGTGGGCTCCTGGTCCAGCGAGGGGCCTCCGGCGGCCGCGGTGGCGCTGGCAGTGGGGGGGCGGGCACCTGGCGGGGTGGGGGAGCCGCGGCGGCAGGGAAGGTGCTACTTCTGGGGAAGAGCGGGGACAGCAGCAGGGCCAGCTCGGGGCTGGCCAGGCAGGGGAGGGCGCCCCGCGTCGGAGGCGAATAGGCTCCCACCGGGGACAGGCGGACGGGCAGCAGCGGCTCCTCCGGGGGGCTCGGAGCCCCCAGCAACCGCGGCCCCGCGGCGCCTGGCCACCCGGTCAGCGGCGCCAGAAGCAGGGACCCAGCTGCGCCCGCGCCCTCACCCTCCAACAGGGGGTGCCCGTCGGCCGAAAGCCGGAAAACCAGGGGCCGAGGGAGTAGGAGGGGACCGGCTGCAGGCGGGATTGAGGGGTGGGAAGCGTGGCAGGCGCAGAGGGGAGGGAGGGCAGCAGGGACCAGCAGCCAGGCGAGAGGGGCAGGAGAAAGAGGGAGCAGAGAGTTAGTGCTGTAACCCGGTGACCCCGCCCGGGTTCCCTTTCCCGGAGCGCCCCCCTAGGTGGAGGGGGCAGGGAAGAGGTGGGTGACACAGAATGGAGGGGGAGACAGAGGACCAGGTTGGACAGCTCCGGAGGCGCAGGACAAGGCCGAAGCCCAGCCCTGCGGCCGGCTCCCACCAGTCTCTTACCCTCGGGGCCTGTCTGTGCGCCTGGCTCCTCGGGCTTCTGGGTGGCCGGGGCCTCCTGGCCGGCCGCGGGGCTGGCGGCCCTCGCCTCCTCTGGCTGCCCTTCGGCTATGGGCTGCAGCCCAGGGCGGTTCTTCTTCCTCCGGGGAGGGATAGGGGGCGGCGGGGGCCGCGGCGGCACCAGGGCCCAGCCAGCTGGGGGGTCTCGGGGCGGCACGGGCGGCGGCGGGGCCCGGTTGCGGGACCGCAGTTCCTTGAAGGTGGTGACCTCGCGCGGAGCCGCCGCCGCGGGGCCGCCCAGCGACCCGGCTGGGGGGAGCTCGGTGTCGGGCGAGAAAACGATGAGCCAGTCGCTGCGGTCTTTCTTGGCCTGCGGCACCAGGGGCAACCCCGGGCCCCGCTTGCGCTTCTGGGCCAGCTCATGGAAGGATGTGATGGTCCGGTGGGGCACCGGCTCCTCGCTGACGTCACTTCTCCATCCCCCATCAATTTTCCCTGCATCTGTTTTCGAGCCGGAATCAGTCAGCCCTGTGTTGCTCTTCCAACCCGAGTCGAATTTCCCAGCTTCCGTCTTCCAGCCAGAGTTAGTATTTCCGTCGATTTTCCAGCCGGAGTTATTGTTCTCGGTGATTTTCCATCCACCTCCAGCCGTTTTCCCTGCATCGCTTTTCCAAATGGGGTTGATGTTCCAAGTGGGTTCTGTTTTCCCAGCGTCGCTTTTCCCATCCTCCGCCTCCGAGAGCTCCGAGGTAGGGAGGTCCTGCTCCCCGCTCTCCTCCTCTTCCTCCAAGCTCGGCGAAGGGAGGTCGTGGAAGGTGCTCAAGGCATTGCAGTTAGAGTCTAGGTCGGGGCCTGGCGGGGAGGAAGCACCCGAGCAGGAATCCGGGGAGCAGCAGAAGCTGTCCGGGGAGCAGGGGTCAGGGCCTGCCACAGGAGCCGAGGGCGAGCCTTGCTCTAGGGGAAGGATGCCAGGCTGAGGAGCGCCATCCTCCAGGCGAGGAAGGTCCCGGGAATAGACAGAAACCGGGGACTCATCTGGGCTAAGATCAGAGCAGGAGCTGAGCGAGGAGGAGCAGCCCGGGTCGGAGGGAGAGGCCGCTCCTTCTTCTTCCTGCGTTGACAGATCCTGCCTGTTTTCGAGAGCTGGCCCGTGTTCCTGGCAGCAGCGGCAGGGCACGGCGGGGCTGTTAGAATTGGCGTCCACCAGGGTCCCGCTGCAGGGGCCCCTGCTCTCCTTGCCCCCAGCATCTCCTGGAGGAGGGGGTGTGCTGAGGGGCCCCTCCCGCAGTTCCGGGTGGCGGGACAGGTGCAGGCCTAGGGAGACATGCTGGAGGTGGATGTGGTTGAGGTTGCAGAGTAGAGCTCTTTGAGGGGACAGCATGGTGCCAGTGGCGGCGACGTAGTGGCCTCTAGAGAACCCGGCGGATGGAGCGTCTTACATCCACCTACCTGGCAAAGGCAGGATGCAGACCTGGAAGACAGGGGGTGATAAGGGCAAGGGCTGCAGGAAGGACATCCACCACCCCCCCTCAGGGTGACCGGCTCTAGCTGCTCTGGAAGGTATTTAAATGAGATGCCAATCGCCATTCACTGTCCAGGAGTTTCCACTGCAGTGTTTGCAGGTGAAGTCGAATGTAAACCCCCCTCCTCCCCGCCCCACCCGGGGAGGGTCACAGAATGCAGCGGCTGCGCACTGGGTGTCCGTGGGGGTGCGGGGACTTGCCAGAGGATGTAGCCCAGAAGGGGATCCCAGGGTCCTTTTTGCAGAAATCTGACCCTGCCCTGCAGGCTACCACTCCCTGACTGAGGAAGGCTGCCGAGGGAGACCCCGCCCAAAGGTTCTTAAAAGCAGGAGGGAGGCAGTGCTGAGGACGAAGCCCAGTGAATGCAGGAAAGAGGCGGGGGCTGCTGCAGAGAAAGACTGAGCAGCGGTCGGTCTGGATATGCACTCCACATCTGCAGGCTGCCGCGCACCGGCACCAGCCTGCAGCATCGGTTCACCCTTAACCGGCTGGCATCGCTGGTCCATCCTCTCATCTCTCCATCACCTAACCACCACCCCATCCCTGTGCTGCCCCACCCGACCCGCCTCCCCAGCTAGACCACCTGCCCAGCCCTCCTCACCAGGGTCCTCCCGGAACCACTCCGGCCTGGGGCTGGTCAGAGGCTCCCACCGTCCCCGAGGGGAGGGGAGGGGCGCTAAACCAACACGCTCGCTCGGCTGCGCAGCCGCACCCCTTCGCACAGAGGCGTGCCTTAGCTCAGACCCGCCTCCCAGACCCTGACGTCTTGCTTGTATCACCCATCCAGACCCAACCTGCAGCTTTTCTGGTGTCCTAAGCTTTCGGTCCCGAGGGGCCCCTAGTGCTAAGATCCACGGTCCCAGCTTCTGCGCAGCCACCTTGCCCCCACCTGGACCCATCCCGCTCCGCCCAGCCCAGAGGAGAGGAGACGCAGCAGGCCACAGCACGAACAGAACCAAGAACCATGAAAAGATCACACAATAATTTATTGAGAGATCTCCCTCCCCTCCCTCGCAGTCTCTGGGTCACTTTTTCCGCTTGTAGATCTTGCGCGCTAGCCCCAGGAAGATGGACTGGGGCAGGGGCGCCGCATACTGTTCGATGAGGCTCAGCAGACGGTTGTAGCTGTCCTCCTCATACTGCGTGAAGGCGGCCTGAAGATTCAGCTCCTCGTAGAGCGCCTTCACCCGGGCCACCTTCTCAGCCTCCTTCTGGCCATAATTCTCCTGGGAGCCCCAGAGACAAAGAAAAAAATGGGATTGGCCTTGGGTAGCACCTTAAGAGCCCTCCTCATCACTACCTCCCTCCCCCACGCCTACTTCAAAACCGCTCCAAAGCCACCGCACTCTATCCCTGTCTCCCGGAATGTTCTGGGTATCTGAGATGCAAAAGCTCCCCTTTCTACGCCCCAAGCATTCAGATCCTGCCCCCGGCTTCAGCTCCCCCTACCCTAGAGCGGCATAACCTTGGCACTGTTGAAATCTGGGAGTGGGCTGAGGTGGGTCTAGTCTGTGTGCTACAGAAGGATCAGCAGCATCCCTGTCTCCAGCATAAGACAGAACACCTGCAGAAACTGCCTGGGGGCCCCTACGGGTCCCCAGGGGCAAGGCTGGCATAGCCCTGCTTTTCGTATTACACCCAGGGTCCTCTCCTGCGGCACCTGCAGGATCTGACGCTGTTCCGGCGTGGCCCTTTGCAGACACTGAACCACCAGCCAGCTGCATTTGTTGTCCTGGATGTCGGTGCCAATCTTGCCCGTCACACTTGGGTCCCCGAAGAGGTCGAGGTAGTCATCCTTGGCCAGGGGCAAAAAGGGAGGAGTGAAGAGGCATCCCGGGGCAGGGGGTGGGGAGCAAGGTGAAGACGTACAGTGCGTACAGTGCCTGCAAGGCGGAGGAGCACGCTCTGCCTTCCCTACCTGGATCTGGAAGAATTCCCCCATCTCCAGTAGAATCTTCCTGGCATTAGCATGCTCCTTCTCCCCGTCAATGCCGGCCTACAGAGGAAACAGGTGAATGAGCCAGACCCCAAGAGAGTCGCCCCATCGGCATGCCAGGAAAGCAAGGCGGCCCACTCACCATGTACATGGCAGCCGCCACGGGGAGGTAGAAGGAGTAGAAGGCCGTCTTGTACTTGACGATGGATTTGTACCTGCGGGGGAGGTACCTCCTCAGGATGGTGCCCACGCTGAGCCCTCCCTCCCCAGCCCAAGTTGGGGGTTCACCAGCCCTCACCGCTTTTCAGTGTATCTGCCCAGATCCACGTTGCCCTGGGGCGCCGTGATGAGGTCCAGAGTCTGCCCAATCTCTGTCTGATAGGAACTCTATGGTGGGGCACCAAGATGGCCCGTGAGCCAGGCCGCCTCTGGGGCTGGGGAGGCCAGTTAGCCCGGGGGCCCAGGGCCCAGACCAGCACAGGAACGAAGAGGAAGGGCCAGAAATGGCAGGGAAGTCCCCAAGGCAGTTCATCTCTGTGCCCTTGGCCCCTTCTTGCAGCTACACCGGGCAACACAGATACCCTTCTTGCTGCTCCCACCACCGTCCCCAACTCCTTCTTTCCAGGCCCAAGGAGAATGCCCCTTGGTGGCTGAGACCTATGTCCCCTCCCCACCCCCACCCCTGGGGGCAGCCCAGGCCCATGGTGCACCTGCAGGAAGAGCTCGATGAGGTTCAGGTAGTAGGGCTGGTCCCGGCAGTAGGCCTTAAGCAGGCGGTAGATACATGCTTCTAGAAGCAGGGCATCATTGACAGCGTCCAATCCGATACCTGGCTGGGAGGGGCCGCAGGGGAGAACTATGAGCCTCCCTTGGTTCACACCAGGGACTGGCCCCTCCTTCCCCCACCCTGGGGGACCGTGTCCTGCCCCCACCTCCCGTTACCTTTTGATACCAGCATGGCTGGCCCCGGCGGGTGAGGGACGAATCCATGATGTCATCTGACACCAGGAAGAAGGCTTGCAGCTAGGAAAACCGAGAGTGGATGGAGTAAGCTCCCCCACCGGATCCCTGGAATGTTCTTTCAATGAATAACAAAGCTGCTGCTTCTGCAGGTGCCTGCAGGTCAGGAGAGGAGCAAGGAGGGAGGGTACTTGTGGCCTTTGCCGCTCCGCCTCCCTCTCTGCCACACAGGGTCCTGCATCCTTGCTGTCCCAGACAAGAGAGGCAGATTTCATCATAGCCTGGCCCCAGCGACAGAGATACTCTCAAAGACTGAAGGCTTTGGCAAAGGCTTTAAGATGTCCCCACACAAGGTGACCCCGGGGCTCTGTGGCCAGGACCCAGTGCCCCTTGAAGGAGCTCGGGGGGCGAGATGCAGGGCTGGTGGAGTGAAGTGACACTCCTGACTCCTGGTAATGCTGACACACATGTGCAGGACTTGAACAGCTAGAAACCCTTGGCCACAGCAGCCAACAGCAGGCTCTTCCATGGGGCCAGCCACCCGAATTGTAACATGGTGACTTTTTCCCACTAGCCCCAGCAAGGGGGCTGCCTAACTGCTTGTCAAGTGCAGGAAACACTCTAACCAATGCCCAGACCTTCTGGCAGCCAAGTGACACATTCCTGAAGCAGCTCTGCAAAACCTGGTTTTTCTGTTTGTTTCAGATTTGTTTATTTAAAAGACACAGCTACATAGAGACAGAGAGAGAAGGAGAAACAGAGATCTTCCCTCCATTGATTCACTCCCCAGTTGGCTGCATAGACAAGATGAAGCCAGGTTTCAGGAGCTTCATCTGGGTCTCCCACGCAGGCACAGAGGCCAAATACTTTCCGCTGCTCTCCCAGGTGCATCAGCAGGGAGTTGGATAGGAAGTGGAGCACCCAGGAGTCCAACTGGCACCCATGTGGGATGCTGGTGTCACACAGGCAGCTTAACGTGCTATGCCATGATGCTGGCTCCAGGACCTCTCATCCCACTGTGTATGCAGTGCAAGCACAGAGCTCGGCGTAGACCATGTGGAAGGTGCCCGTGCCACCTGGCCCTGTCCTAGGCCTGGGCCTCAGGGCAGGGGGCATCTATCTGTATCTTCACCTCCAACCTCACTGCAGAGGTGAGGCGGGGGGCCTGCATCTTTGGAGAGGCTGTTTTTTCTTACACAGTGTTCACCTAGAGTGGCATGTCTCCCGGGAGCCAACCCCACCCTGACTTCTGCCAAGGGTGACCATGATCCAGTGTCAGCCACCACCACTCAACCACAGTGATATCTCTTACAATTCTTCCATCTCCTTGGCTCCCCACCTGCCCATCAATCAGGAACGTTGGGGCATAGGCCTTCAGCACCCAGGGGTCATTATCTCCCCAGGTAGGTGCAGGGGGGCAGGCGGCATACTCCCACCTCACCAACGGGGTGTGTATTTCAAATTGTGGAGCCTAATGGTGACCCCAGGAAAATAATCAGACAGGTTCAGACTGGATGTGAACCGCTTGACCAAGCAGCTGGCCCAGAGGTGACCCTGGGGAGAAGGAATATTCCAAAGACGTGTGTTAGCCCAATGGGACAGTTACCACTTGTAATGTCAGCATTCAATACTGGAGTACCAGCTGCTCCACCTCCAATGCTACTCCATGCCAATGCATCTGAGAAGGCAGTGGAAGATGGCCCCGAGCACTTGGGCCCCTGCACCCATGTGGAAGACCCAGATGAAGCTCCTGACTCCTGCCTAAGGCCTGCTCTAACCCTGCCCTTCATAACCACTTGTGAGGCTGCAACCAGCAAATGGCTAATCTCTGTCTCTTCCTCTGTCATTCTACCTTTCAAATACATAAATAAATATTGCTGCTGTTGTTGTTTTAATATTTATTTGAAAGAACAATAGACAGAGAAAGAAATCTTCCACCCACTGGTTTGCTCCCCAGACAGCTGTAACTGCCAAGGCTCAGCCAAGCCAAAATTAAGACTCAGGTCTCCCACATGGGTGAGAGGGCCGAAGTACTTGGGACCATTCTCCACTACTTTCCCAGGCCATAAGCAGGGAGCTGGGTCAGAAGTGGAGCAGCCGGGACACAATCCAACATCCAGAAGGGATGCTGGCCTTGCAGGCAGCTTTACCACTCTGCCACAGCACTGACCCCTAGACAAGTTAAAAAACAAAAACTGAAGGACTTCACCAAATGCATAGACATTAAACAACAGTGATACAGGGATTTCAGGAGAATGAGGAATATTTGTGGAATAAGTGCTACATAATGTATCACCATGAAATAGATCGGCTTGTGTAATCTATCTATTACGGTTACATGGACAAATGTTCTCGCTTTTAGTAAGTAAATGGTGAAAAAATAGAAAAATCAAAGGTTAAAAAAGATGGAGGAGGAAAGGATGAGAGAAGCAGAAACTCGAATGTTACTGGAGTGGATGGAAAGCACCTCAGGAGGCAATGGTACCCACAGCCGGTCTGTCAGCCCCTGCAGGCCGACACAGAGGGCACTGTGGGCTCAGAGCAAGTGAGACAAACAACTTGGTTCCCATGGCTCTGCCCCGCTCTCCAAGTTCCCAGGCTCCTAGCCCCTTGGATCCAGAGACAGATGTCCCCATTACCCAGGTCCCACCCCGCTCCACTGCCTGTATCCTGTTACCTCCTTGGAGGAAAAGCCAAACTGGAGTGCCAAGGCATCCAGGACACAGGGCATCACTGACCCTCCTGGGTCCAGGATGCAGCGTGACTGCCTGAGCTTGCCACTCATCTTATGGGGGTCACTTCCACCCATCTGAGGCCTGGCCCCCCTTCCCGAAGCCAAGACCCCCTGTCCCTTGTAAAGCCTTTAGGCAGGGCCAGCAAACTATACTTTCAAAAGCAAGGAGGATGGGGAGCAAGCAAACCAGACAGATGCCAACACGCATGCACGCGTTCATTCATTCATTCATTCATTCATTCATTCATTCCCTGTCCCAGGAACAGGTGGCAACTTGGCATCAGCCCAACCACCTGCTACTCTACAGGCACCTGGCCCCAGATCTCATTATTTTCCAAGAAAGGCAGGAAATGTAAGTGTATAAGTGAAATCACTCCTTTCCTTTTTAAAGATTTATTTATTTGAAAGTTAAAGAGAAAGAGAAGAAACACAGAGAGATCCCCACTTACTGGTTCACTCTTCAAATGGCTGCAAAGACTTGGGGCTGGGCTAGGTCAAAACCAGAATCCAGGAACTTCATCTGGATCCCCCACGTGGGTGTAGAGGCCAAGCACTTGGCCCATCCTCTGCTGCTTTCCCAGGAGCACTAGCAGGGAGTTAGATCAGAAGTGGAACAGGTAGGATTCAAACTGGCACTTCCATGGGATACCAATAAGTGCCACTACACTGGCCCCAGAACCTCTTCTTGGTAAAGATTAGGGGACTTAAAACACTTTCCAAAGCTATCAGTGGGCTACTATTTAATCATTACTTCAGAACAATCTGGTAGAAGAACTGTGTTGGGGTGGGTATGTCAAGCAAGTTAAGCCACTGCCTGTGATGCTCATGTCCATAGCTGAGTACTGGCTGCCCTGCTTCTGATCCAGCTTTCCGTTAACGTGCCTGGGAAACAACAGATGACAGCCCATGTGCTTGAGCTCCTGTCATACCCATGGGAAACCCAGATGGATTCCTGGCTCTTGGCTTTGGCCTGGCCTGGCCTGGCCTAAACTGTTAGAACCATTTTGGGGAATGAACCAATCTCTAATTAATTGATTAATTTTTAATTAATCTTTTAAAAGATCTATGTCACTTGTATGGCTGTCCTTTTTTCAAAATCGATTAGAAAGATTCAGAGATGGACAGGCACACAAAACCCCCATCACTGGCTCACAGCCCACACACCCGGGCATAAACACCTTCACGTTTCGTGCTTCGAGCAATGGGCTGACACCTGTGTGCCGAGTCAGCGGGGCCAGGCTAGGGTCTAACCACAACTTCTTTATACACACCTAATGACAGAGCAGCCCCCCCTGCCCCCCCCACTGATCAAGCCTGGAGTAACCCCCATCTGCCAAACCAGCTCTGACACAGGACGGGCAGAGTCCCTAGCCCCCCGCCAATGTTCCCTCCCCTAGAAACCCCTTCTCACCAGCTCCACACACCAGCCCACGGTCAGGGCCCGCTGCAGGCTCTCAGCGTCCTGCTTCCTGGGCTCCTCCAGCTCGCGGAAGACCACCAGCACCGTCAGACCCCGGTTGTACTTGCCACCAAGGGCATTGTACTCCAACACCTAGTGACAACAGAGGGAGAACGAGGGGACACAGGGCATCAGGGTCTATGCGACAGCAACTGGTATGTCTCCTAGGCGTCCCCTTTGGGCCAATCCCTCCCTCACCCCGGGCACTACTCCCTGGCCCTGCCGCCTCCTCCATAGTTCTCCTGCACAGTTGGCAAGGTCTCTACGTGCCCAGGCACACTGGAGCTGCAGTCTCCCCACTATAGTCAATGCTGTCCCAACCCCAAATGGGGTTCAAACTCAACAACTGAGCACACGCAGCGGGAATGGCCGCCTCGCCCAGATGCCTGCTAGGGTTTCAGCCCTGCCCTCACTTTCCCACACTTCCCCTGTGCCACCCAGCCCCACTCTCCCAACCCCCTCCTGTTCCCCAGACGCAACCCCACTGCACCACCTCTTCCCCCCAAAAGTGGCCAGAGGAGGGCTGGGAAGAGTCCAAGGCTGCAGATCCATTTCTCACTGAAGTTGTCCTCCCCAGGTTCCTTCGGGTAAAATCCAGGTCATGGGTTCTACTCCTTGGCTTTCCACTGTCCCACTCTCAGACATCAAAAAAATCCAGGAAGTCCTGCCCACCCCCTCAGACTAAGCACCACCCTGTCTCCTCCCATGGCCCCCTTAGAGAAATGAGACACATGACATTCATAGAAAGAAGTTTACTAGATATTCCAAAAGAAAAACAGACAGCTTCTGTGTCACAGTGGGGACTTCTCAGGCACCTGTAGTCCAGCACCAGGAGACGGGGCAGCCTATGACCGCCTTCCTTCTGGGAGGGCTACCCCTTTCTGCCTTCCAGACACTGCATCACAGCCTGACCCGGGCCCAAGGCTCCATGGCCACATGAGGCAGCATAGGGGGCACACCCTCGCACAGCCCAAGTCAAGTTGAAGGACAGACCTTCCCACACCTGCCCCTGCCCATTCCTACAGAACTGCCTCTGCTGACAGTCTCACTCAAAAACCACCATACAGTCCCACACAGCAGGACCAGCAGGTGACTGGTGCTCACCTCCTTAAGCCGGGCAATAGCATCTCCTGTCTCGGGGTGCCCCATCTCCTCCTCTGTCAGCACCTTGACGATCTGGGAGAAGTGCTGGACAAAGTCCTGTTTTGCTTGGGCATACACATCTGGCTGCTGGTCCCCGTTCATGTTGAGAGAGGAGCTAAGCGCTCTGAAGGAAGAGAAGGGCAAATCAGATACCTGACCAGGTGCTCCCCTCCCCCAAGATCCCTCACCCCAGCCACACTCACCGAGGCTCCTCTGTCCTCGCTTGGCACCGGCAGCGGGCACTGTGCCAGGCCCCCAGGACCGGGCACCCACGCACCACACAGGGCCTCCGAAGGGGGCCCAGCAACCTCTCCCGGGCCACCCAGCAGGGGGCTGGCAGCAGGAAGACCCCCACAGATCTCAGCCAGCGGGACAAGGGCATCGTGGGAGTGGCATGGGGAGGGGGCACCGAGCACTCCCTGAAAGGGGCAAGCACGTGGATTACCCCCCACGCTAACTTTTTTTATCTCTTGGCTCACAATGCCCCACCCTCTTGGGGAAAAAAAATTAGTATAGCTGCATGACTGGGACCCAGCAACAATCGCTGCTTAGATTAACAGGTTAGCTGCAGGCACAAGTAGCAAAGTACCCCAAGCCTAGGGCCAAGAGGTTCCCCTAAGTCATCCTATCACACAGAAGCCAAACTGGGGCGTTCAGCATATGAGAGGACGGCTGAGCAGAGGCACTGCCATATGGAGAAGCCAGCTTGCCCTAGACAGACAACGAAGCGGGGTGTCTCAGCTCCAAGCTACGTCCCACATAGGGGAAATGGACTGGGAGGGGAGGGCAGCCCCATGGGTGCTGCATCCATCTAGGGTGCAGAGACTGCACCCCGAGCCTGAAAGGGAGCGCTGGGACAACACAGAGCGCCTCGGAGCAACTCGGGGGCGCGGGGAGGGGGCGCCGCGAGGGCTTGCTGCAGGTGTAGACCCAGGTTCGCACGTACGGGGACAGGGAGGTTCAGAAAGGCACTTGGGCAAAGTTTGGGAGTTTCCGCACGGCCACCGACACCAGCACAACAGGCTGGGATGCCCGTGCTTCACAGCATCCCTACACAAGGGAGGCCGGGTCTCGGACCCCAGCCTCCAGTCCCAGAACAAGACCTCTCTCACCTGGTCCTTGATGTCGGTTCTTGCTTGGTCCAGATTCTTGGCGGTTTACTCCTAAAAGCCGAACACGCTTCACGCTCTGCCCTCTGGGTGAAGTAGTTCTGAATCTCCCTCCGCTGGTAGAAGAAGCAAAGCGTTTAGACTACAACTCCCGGCATGCCGGAGGAGGGACAGAACCAGCGCGATCTAACGTGGGCCGGCGGGGCGGAGCCGAGCCGCGTTGATTGGGTGCTGGCCCTCGTGTGAGCATGGGGTCTCCGGCGGACGACCAATGGGCGGCTGGGACGGGCTGTCAGGCGGATGGACGCACGCCCCGCCCGGGGGCGGTAGTGGGACCTGGAGCCTGCGGACGGCCTACGCCGTCGCCCTGCCTCCTGGCTGGCTGTCACCTAACTCTACGCTCCCATTTGCAGTGTTTCTGTGAGGCCCCTTTGGTAAAATTCCAAAGATCAACTTTGACGTTTATTAGTTCTCCAACTTAGGAAAAACATTTACTAGTGCTGATTCTCAGTCCATTTGACTTCTGGCTTTCCTCATCTGTTGCATGTGGACAGAATCATGAGGTAATGGATATAAAATGCCTGAAGACTGTAAACGAGGCCCCCCTCAGCAGGGTTTTGAAGCCAACTGGCTTTCACCACGTTGGCCCTTTCCCCATGAACCCTCCAGAATCCTCAGAACCCTGGGGCACATCTGACAACGTCAGCGCTGACTGCACCCCAGAACTTGTGCTATCCCTGAAGGAGCAGGTGAGAATCCAATGCTAGCCACGTTTGTTTAAAAAAGTTAAAAGACAAATTCCTACACCTCATAGACCAGGTGGGCATCTCAAAAGAGGCTGTTTTTCTCTTTGTTCTTGTGTTTGTTTTTATTATGATTTATTTGAAATGAAAAATTACAAAGAAAAGGACAGATACAACTTCCATACGCTGGTTCACTCCTCAAATGGTCACATAGGGCTAGAGCTGAGTCGCTCTGAAGCCAAGAGCTCAGCACTTCTTGCAGGTCTCCTGTGAGGGTGCAAAGGCCCAGGGACTTGGACCATCTTTTGCTGCTTTCCCAGAACAAAGGTAGGGAACTGAATGGAAAGTGCAGCAGCCAGGACACGAACTGGCACCATAAATATAGGTTGAATGTACAACTCCATGATGCCAGTCCTCCCAGACTGGTATTTTTATGGACATGATATAAATCATCCATTTCTTCTTCCCTCCAACTTCTCATGGAAAGTGTGTGTTGGAGGGGAGGGGTTCTAGATGCAGAATTCCCCTAAACAAATCCCTCTGGATGACACTGACCATCTAGGTTCTTACCTAATGGAGGAGCAAGTGACTCCTTCAGTCCAGTGATTACGACCTTGTCGAGTTCTTTCTCGGGTTGCCATCGAAGGTGGCAGCTCTCTGCTGGACATCGTGGGCACACTCAGACCTCTGGGGAAGCTCAAGATGGTCAAAAAGAGGGCCAAGAAGTTCATTCCACAGTAGTCAGACCAGAATGTCAAGATGAAGGTTAACTGGATTAAGTCCAGAGGTATTAACAAGAGGGTGAAAAGATTCAAGGGTCAGACCTTGATGCTCAACATCAACAGAAGCAACAAGAAAGTAAAGCGTGAGCCTGGTGCAGTAACCTAGTGGATTTGCCTTGCACACACTGGGATCCTATATGGGTGCCAGTTTGTGTTCCTGCAGCCCACTCCCCGTCCAGATTCCTGCTTGTGGCCTGGGAAAGCAGAAGAGGACGGCCCAAAGCACTGGGACCCTGCACCTTCATGGGAGACCCAGAAGAAGTTCCTGGCTCCTAGCCTCAGATTGGCTCAGCTCCAGCTTTGCAGCCACTTGGTAAGTGAATCAGTGGATGGAAGATCCTCTTTGCCTCTCCTCTGTATATCTGACTTTCCAATAATAATAATATTATTAATAATAAAAAGTAAAGCACAGGCCTTTCAGTGTTGTTGGGTGGCCCTGGTGTACATTGCAGTGCCATGGTGGACAGAGCAGCCTGGCTGGCCATACCAGTCACCAGGCCCTGAGCCATGCTGAGCAGAGAGGAAAATGAATAGGCAGCGTGTGTGCACACTTTATTTGCTTTTGAATAAAAGATTTAAAACTGAAAAAAAAGTACCTACCTTATTGGATCAACTATATCATTCTCTCAAGTCAGTGAATTCCATTTGATAAAAAACAGGCAAGGACAACCTAAGCAAGGAGAGACAGAAGCTGGGTCCTGCTTTCAAAATGTGTTTCTTCTTTCTAACGTACATGAATTTATTTTCTTTAAAAATTCTCATTTTCGGGGCCCAGCGCTATGGCACAGTGGTTAAGGTCCTTGCCTTGCACACCCAGGGATCCCATATGGGCGCCGCTTCTATCTCAGCAGCCCCGCTTCCCTTCCAGCTCCCTGCCTGTGGTCTGGGAAAGCAGTCGAGGACGGCCCAAAGCTTTGGGACCCTGCACCCACGTGGGAGACCCGGAAAAGGCTCCTGGCTTTGGATCGGCATAGCATCGGCCCGTTGCGCTCACTTGGGGAGTGAATCATCGGATGGAAAATCTTCCTCTCTGTCTTTCCTCTCTGTATATCCGCCTTACAAATAAAAATAATAGTAATAATAATAAATCTTTAAAAAAAATTCTCATTTTCAGGCCTGGTGTGATGGCTCAATTGATTAATCATCCCCCTTCAAGTAGTGAGATCCCAAATGGGTGCCAGTTTGTCTCCTGGCTGCTCCACTTCCCATTCTGCTCCTTGCTTGTAATTTGGCACAGCAGAAGAGGATGGTCCAAAGCCTTGAGACCCTGCATCTGCATGGGAGACCCAGAGGAAGCTCTTGGATCCTGGCTCATGGCTTCAGATCGGTTCAATTCCTGCCTTTGTGGCCACTTGGGGAGGGAGTGAACTAGTGGATGGAAGCTCTTTTTCTCTCTCTCTTTCTGTAGATCTGTCTTTCCAATGAAAATAAATAAATTTCAAACAAAAAAATGCTGCACATATTGGCACAAACTAAGCTGATAGCAGGCCTGGTGGAGGTTATTGGGGTTACTCCGACTAGGCTGTCGTTCCCACTGGTGTGCATGAGGGCCAAGTGTATTGTAGACTGAGCTGGCCAAGTCACGGTATCCATTGATTTGCATATATGATGGAGCTGGGAATGGAACTGACACAGCAGAAGTTAACACCAGTGTTTGTGTAGGCTGATGTGGGTGACAGACTGAGCCAGATTCTGCACTGGCTGACACACACAGGAGTTAGGTCTGGGGTCATTTCTGGTGAGATTTTTTTGGTAACAACCCCCAACTAAACTGTTGGGAATAGACCAAGGGAAAATCACGTGATCTGTAGTCTGACCATGGAGTGCATGTGTCAGAATTGAGCCTTCTCAATTGCTGAAGCCTGTGCATGCCCAAACGCACATGGGGGACATGACAGATCATTGAGGCATGAAGGGCAGAACAAGTTAGAAAATCTTCCAGCCAAGCTTTAACTGCAAGTATTGGATAAGTGGAAACTCTAAGGTGGACTATGTCAGCAAATGGACTTTGGAAGAATTTCCTCAACCTTGGAGTATCAAAATCAAAAGCATCTCAGAACTATTAAAACCACTTAAGCAGTACCCTTGGAACAGGCTCCACATTAAGGAGCCTGGAATGACATCAGGTGGTCGTCCCCTGTTCCCAGGTACTGATGCAGTTATGCTACTGGGGAGAAGCACTATTTCATTCTCTACTCCCTTCCTCCAGATACAGGAAAAAAAAAAATTGAAGCAATTGTCTCATCCGCTCCCCCTCAGCCACCCGTTCCTCAACTCTTCCTACCCTGATCAGTGGTCCACGTGGATGTTCATCTTTCACAACAATGTAAACATCATCAAAAATAAATCCTCCACAAGCTTTTCCAAACAATAGAAAGAGAGGCAATCCTTCCAAACTCTTTATATGAAGCCAATATCACTTTAATACCAAAGCCAGATAAACAACAGAAAAAGAGAACTACAGACCAATACCCTTGATGAAAAAGATGCCCACCCGGTGGACGTCTCTACAACCACCTGAATGCAGCTCCACCTTCTTTTGCATGGACACCGGACCACCCTGCATTGCATCCATCCAAGCATTGCTTGCTACTGTGAGACTGGCCTTTTACTCAATGTGAGCTTGGAGGTTAATGTCAATAATAACGTCTTGCAAAAGGGCCTTCTATTATTCCTACTGTCTTGGTTGTCCCCATTGACCTTAAGCTAATCAAGGGACCTATATTTAGGCCTTCATTCTTTCCTCATTCTTTAGACTCCCCTTTTCTTTGTGATACAAGATTGAGTTGTAGGATAAGAATTGTAGCAGGGGGCCTGGCGCGATGGCGCAGTGGTTAAGGTCCTTGCCTTGCACGCCCAGGGATCCCATATGGGCACTAGTTCTAGTCCCGGCAGCCCCGCTTCCCATCTAGCTCCCTGCCTGTGGCCCAGGAAAGCAGTCGAGGATGGCCCAAAGCTTTGGGACCCTGCACCCGCGTGGGAGACCTGGAAGAGGCTCCTGGCTTCAGATCGGCATAGCATCGGCCGTTGCGCTCACTTGGGGAATGACTCATCGGACAGAGGATCTTCCTATTTGTCTCTCCTCTCTGTATATCCGCCTTTCCAATAAAAATAAGATAAATCTTTAAATATACATATAACTAAATAAATAAATTTTAAAAAGAAGAAAGAGGACCTAGCGCGGTAGCCTAGCAGCTAAAGCCCTCACCTTGCATGCGCCAGGATCCCACATGGGTACTTGTTCATATCCCAGCAGCCTATTTCCCATCCAACTCCCTGCTTGTAGCCTGGGAAAGCAATCGAGGATGGTCAAAGCTTTGGGGACGTTGCACCCGCATAGGAAATCCAGAAGACTCCAGACTCCTGGCTTCGGATCATCTCAGCTCCAACTGTTGTGGCTACTTGGGAGTGAATCAATGGAGGACAATCTTCCTGTGACCTCCTTTCTGTATATCTGATTTT